TCAAGAGGGCAATTGGATGGCATCCCTTGGTTTACAAGTGCTTGTGGTACGCCGAGATAATGTGCAACAGATAAATGACCCGGAACCCCCGCTTGATGATTCGAGGAAAGCTTCGCCCGAGACAGAAGACATATAAGCAGCAGTATATTAGATCGCCCGAGCGGGCTGCTCACATTTATGCTAACATACAATCATGATCATCAGGCTGGTTATCTTAGATAGAGAACTCCCCCGTCAATGGCAAATCACGGCTCGACCGTCCCACGTACACTTGATACGTGCCCGACTGCAGCTGCCACTGCTGCGCTTCCACGTTCCAAGTGCTCAAGTCGCGCCGATTCAGCGAGAAGCTCACCTGGGCTGTCTCGCCCGCGGAGAGAAGCACCTTGTCGAACCCACGCAGCTGACGGACCGGCCCATTGGGTATCCCCACATACAGCTGGGCCACCTCCGCCCCGTCAACCGATCCACTGTTCTGCACCTCGGCCGTAACTGTGACCAACTCATCCCACAGCCGAGGGTTTCCTCCTTCTTGAATAGCGGCCGACGGTGGATACTCGGAGGTCGTCTCATTGGTCTTTTCGATGCTCAGCCCCGAGTAGGCAAAGGTGGTGTACGAAAGGCCAAACCCGAACTCGAATTGCGGGGTGATGTTATCCTTGTCAAATGCCCTGTAATCGATATAGACCCCCTCGGAGTAGTCTGACTGGGGGAATAGGCCATACGGAGTTTGTGGCTCCGATGGATGCAGCAAGGAGCCATAATCCGAGGCCTGCTTTGCGATGGTGTATGGAAGCTTGCCCGAGGGGTTGGCCCGCCCGTAGAGAATGTCTACCAAGGCGTGGCCGGTGTCCTGACCAGGAAGGTGTGCCAGGATGACGGCAGTGACATTCTCATGATCAATCCAGTTATACACCAAGCGAATGCCAGCGTTGTGGACGACGACAATGGTGTTGTTACACTTGCTTGCTACATTCGTGACCATGGTGTCGCTGTAGTCGTCCGTCAATGCGGAGCGGTCATATCCTTCCGTGGCATAGCTGTTGATGAAGACGAGGCACGCCTCAGACGTGGGATCCACCTCCGGGTCTTGAGCACTGACGTCCCACAGCACGGATGTGCCGTCCTCGTAGGCCTGCTGTTGAATAGCATTGAGTGGCGCAATGACATATGCAGGTGAGTTCGACCCTGAGCCACCGCCCACCCAGAGAGTGTAATTTTGGAAGAGAGCACTATTACCCAAAACAGTAGAAGCAAGGTCGAAAGAATCAATGACCTTGGCATCATAGCCAAAGACAGACACTAGCTGGGGTGTTTGAAGAGGGAGAGCATTGTTAGTATTCTTCACCAAGACGTGCCCCTCAATTGCACTCTCCAACAGTGTGCTCTTCTCGTCGGGACTCGTTCCAACAACAGCCTGATGCTCCGACTGGGCGGTTGCTGGCATGCCAACGCCGGGAGTGGGAAAGTCCGTATCCTGGTTCAACTGATACCACGTTGCGATAATCCTGATTTGATTAGCTTAGCCGTACTGGAAAAGTAAGCTACGAAGCTCACCTAGTCGCCATATCGTCCAGTCTTGATGCCTCCATCGTGCCATTGGAAATAGCGGTGGTGAGGTTGGACCCCCAGAGCGTCGTTTCAGGCATTACCATGTCCAAACCCGCATTGGCCGAGGCGATTCCACCATGCTGGGCTCCCCAGTCGGTGATCACGTAGCCTAGCATAGTCAGAGACCGTTGCGTAGAGACAATGTTGGAGAATCTGATCTTACCTTGGAAACCCAGCTCTGTCTTCAGTAGTCCGTTGAGTGTCTTGCTGTTCTGGCAAGCATAAGAGTTGTTGATCCGCTCATATGAGCACATGATGGCAACACTTCCCGCCAGGACGGCATCCTGGAAAGGCCACAGGTAGAGCTCATGGATTGTCTTGTCATCGATGTTAGACGAGACGGAAGCCACGTCAACACCATTAATCGTTTCCGGGTTTCGGTTTGTCTCTTGCTCATTGCCGATGTAATGCTATTGAACCATAAGCCATACTGTGGGCGCTCAATGAATGACTAGTGCCCACCTTTGTTGAGACACCAACACCAGAGGACTGTACCCCCTGCACTGTTTCGTATACAAGTGCTCCGGTGAGGTAGGGGTCATTTGAGAACCCTTCCCAGTTGCGGCCGCCCTCTGCCACCCGACCAAGAGGGCCAACAACAGGACCGAGAAGAAGGTTCACTCCTTTCCGGTGGAACTCTTGCCCCATGTACTTGGCCCTGTCTCGGGCAAGGGTTCGATTCCAACTGTATCAGTATGTTAGCTTTCGGAACAGTAGAGCACGTTCGTTGACATAAATGTTACCTGGCACCGACGTGAATACCGCTAGACCAACCGTTGACATAATCCGTTCCCCTCTGCGAACATCAGACATATTCAGTCATGTATGAAGGCCATACGTACCAGTCCGTTGCCTGCATCGCTGACACAAAGACCGGAAAAGTTGAGGCGCGGGATCTCAGCAATAAAGCCCGAGCAGCCAGTCTTGGTGCTTACTCCTGCCGTGAGATTGACCTTTTCGTCGTCCGTCAATTGAGCGACGAAGGCCTTGGCCTTTTCATAGGCGGAAGCCCACGACCCAGTACCCGTTCCCTCGGCTTTGGCCAGGCGTTAGTGAAGGCTGTGCCTGGACAGGGGAAACACCACGTACGAGACGGATAGACTGCGGGAGACTGTCCATAGAAGTAAGTGTCGCTAGTGATGTTCTGTGACGGAGCAGCGCTGGAGAGCGCGAGACTCCCAAGCAAGCTGAGAAGTGTACTGATGCTGTGCATTTTGGGAATGCTGTCTTGACTGCTGCCAGGTCATGTTGCACACTGGCCACATGGTGGTATTTAAATGCCACTTTCCCCTCCCATTTTCATGGGGGTGACATTGCCTGTATCATTGTGAATGTGTAGTTGCGGTGCCCGTACTTGCGGGATTTCCAGACTAACGGATAAACATCGGGAAACGGATACAAATGGTGTGTGATTAGACCATGTCATGCGAGGTGCAAATGGGCAGAGGAGGAGTATAGTAGAGGCCTTTTCGGGGTAACATTAGGCGAGCCGTCACTTCTCCTCCACTTCCGGCAGCGTAGAGGGATAGAAATGCCGCTGTAGGAGTCCCACAATTTCTAGCAAGTCCCCACCTGCAGTGGAGGAAATCCGGGGAAATGCAGGGTTTAGGTCGTCATATAGGCCAGAACAGGACTCGGCTAGGGTATGGGGCAAAAGACAAGGCGTGCTATGCAGAGCTGCGCGTGTGGAGAGAGAGGGACGAATCAAAATTTGTCTTCCTCCATACAACATCCGGCATCCGGCTTGGCTTAGGCTCTTAGGCTATTATACTTTCCGGTCGTCTGACCGCAGGAGTATGGCATGGCGTCATCCATGAGGCCTGGTAGGTCCGAGTGTGCTTGGTCTCCTGTTGTTCCTACTCGGAGCCAATCAGCTGCTGACCATCACGATGTAGGTTCAACGCTTATTATATGCGATCAGGCCCCGGAATATAGTCGACGAGCCCTATTCATCGGGTCGCTGGCCTGGAGATGACGGTTCATGCCGCACTAAGAATTGGAAGTGCTCCCACTCTCTCATCGGCCCAGAAAATCGGCACTTGTGTAGACAAAACGTAGCGATAAGTGGAGGATGAAGCACCCCGAGACGAGCGCGTGGCATCGGATGGTGTGTGATGGAATCAAGTCCGTTCGAGGCATCACCCGCCTAGACCGGGTTGAAAAGTGACCAAGCGTGGTAGTCAAGAAGAGCACATCATCAGTGATGATGCAGAGGGTTTTGAAGATATTACGTTGTATGCCCATTAAGGGAAAGTTGATGATATTGCCTATACCTCAGGCGTAGCAGAGCGGCAGTATCGCTATCGTAACCAAGGGTTGACGGATAGATATTATAGAGTTATTCATTGATTAAACAGGTCTACTTAATAGAATACACATTATGACGTCGCATTCACTGTACAGCTTCTTTCTCTTGCTTGCTCCTTCTTCCTCTGCCTCCTACTACTCCATCTCCCCGCCTAACAACACAACCTCAGCCCGTCGACCAGCTTTACCATCACCATCATCATGTCAGTCAACACCGCTTCAGTGGAACCGTCTTTCTTCTGTCCCATGATACAAGCCTTCATGGAGAGCTCATTGGAAAACGGTGCTGTTGTTGTCCATCTGACGCACTTGTTTTCTAAAGGAGATGAGGCAGCGGGAAAGAGTATCACTTTAGGCTGTTCCATCCCGTGCGAGTCCTAGAAAGGGAATAGTGTGGCGGTCATGGCAGACATTCTTGTTCTTGTTCTTCCTCGTCCAACTTTCTTTTCTTTCCTTCTTTCTTTCTTTCTTTCTTTCTTTCTTTCTTTCTTTCTTTCTTTCTTTCTTTCTTTCTTTCTGTCAGTTTCAATTCACTCTGGCTTAGAAATGCTACCAAGTAATTCCGCGCTCATGGCCGATACCCCCATGTCTTCTCTCATAACCATGTGGGACTACCCCGACAACCCTCCTGCCGTCATTGAAATCCGGGGCATCCCCGGACCCACCAGCGCTGCCCAATCTACTACTAATGGAAAAGATTGACGATGCCCTTGCAGTGACCTGGGTAGAAAACATATGATTGCGGGGATGCGGGGGACGGCATGATGGGATGTTACTCAAGCCTCCATAAGCAGTGGGTCTCCTTGTTTTTTCTTTTTTTTTTGTCCCCTCCCTTGTCCCCCTCCACAATTTTCAGGGACAGGGAAACCTGGTCGGATGCACGCGGTGAATTCACCCCTGCTTAGTGCTTCTCTCACCTCTCAACGATGCTTTCGTGCTCCTCTGCGCGAATTGTGGGAATAGTACGTGGCAGGGACTACAATGGACAATATCCGCGGATTTTAAAGGGGGTGCCCCGTTCGCTTGGACGACTCGCTCTCGCAAACACTGGCCCCGACCACCATCCAGCGAGGTAACCCCGCTCAGACCCGCGCTTCCTTCTCCGCATGACTGCCATAGCCATGCCACACCTCGCCGGCAATGCGGCTTTGCAGGTTCCGCTCTTCATCAATGAGTTCGTCACCGAATACCGCGGCAACTTGCTCTAACGACTTGTTTGATGTCTCTGGAACCAAGAAGAATGAAAATACGGCGGCAGCCACACAGAAAATTCCAAAGAAGAGATACGTCCCCCATCCGAGCTTAAGGAGCATCTCCGGCACGACAACCCCGATAATGAAGTTGGCCAACCAAATCATCCCCGTAGCGGCACCAACCCCCTTGGCACGTTTGGAGCTAGGAAACACCTCCGCAGGAAGGACCCATGCCATGGTCCGTATATGAGATGCTGTAGGAGAGCACATATTGGTCTGTCACCCGTATCAGTGGTAAATGCGCAGAAGCATTCGAGGTTGACAGCTTACAAATCAGGGCCACACAGAACCACCCAACTGCCTGATGTGTAGCCCAATCGCTACTGAATTGGTTCATTAACCCCGCCATTACGAGATGCGGGATTGCCATGGCTATTCCACCGTAGATGGCCAGTTTACGCCGCCCCACTTTATCCAGATACAGCATAATCGGAACGCCTCCGATGAATTGACAGACATTGACCATTCCTGATAGAGTCAGTGAGTTATTGTCGCTCTGTCCCAGGGCTTCGAAGAATGTGGGCGCATAATACACGAATGCGTTGATTCCCGAAAACTATATCGGTCAGGAGTTGAAGGCATGGGGAAGTGTCACTGCAATCAGTGGGCCACATACCTGCTGCAAGAACGGAATGCTAAGGCAACAAGAGTCCTCCTCAGGTATCTTGGCCGAAAGATATCGACCCACTGTTTAAAGCCGACAAAGAGCGGGTGACGAGCGTGGTCAGGATACTCCCTTTCGAGGAGCGCCTGGTGGAATCGGACCTCCGACAGGATTCCCTTCCATTCCAATTGCACCTTCTCGTCTTGCGGAGACCGTCCGCGCAATTTCGCCAAACAGCCGAGAGAGTCCTGATCCCAACCTCTCATCGCCAGCCAGCGGGGTGAGAAGGGAAATGGATGAATGCTTAGCCCACAATGAGGGCTGGAAACATCTGGAGGTGGAATGGGAGCCGGAACGCCCAAGCATTGGGGATGGATCTATAACCACATAAGCCTTTCCCTTGGAGCGACGTTCGACACTTGTTGTACAAATGTACCTTGTTCCATAAGTGATCCAGTACGATACAACTGCTCCGATGACGATGCTGATTGCCTCCAGAACCAAGAATGATCCACGCCATGCAGGCGGGGAGATCTCGTATATATACAATGGGGCACCCATTGCCAAGGTGCCGACGCCAATCCCCCTAATAAATCGACCGGCCACGGTTGTAGCATGATTTTGCGCGGCTGTTTGAATGGCGGCACCTATTACGAAAAAGAATCTGGCCACGGTCAATCCCCATTTTCGAGATATTGGATCGGCGACGGGCAGGAAAGAACAGGCAACCGATGAAAGCCCCCAATTCCAGCATCCCAGTCATAAGTCCCACATTGAAGCCATAGTGTGCATGGTCCGGGGACGTTTCGGGGGATTGCTGTCAGAATTGGGACATGACGAGAATGATCGATATGACCCCCTGATCTAGAACATGTTAACTGGGACGTAGTGTAGGTGGACAAAGGACCTACCGTAGCCAAATGAAAAACCACCGAATGATGCCAAGAACGCAGCACCGAATGGGTAGGGGTTTTGAATTAGGTCCCTGAGCTTTCCGGCGTCATACTTCACTTCCGAGGATAGAAGAGCAGGCGCATTGGTGTCGGCATGTTCATCGTGGACTGCCGAACTCTTGTCGAGTTCTTCGGGGTGTTCCTTCTTGGTCATTGGGAAGGTTTTGTGTTACTGACAGGGCTTCTACTAGTAGGGATGAACTAGATACGTGCTGCAGGGCAAACTGGTGCCTTCTGACAGGTTATATACGTAACAGGTCCAGATAGTAATTGTGGGTATAGTTAATCCTCGTGAGCCGCCTCCTCCATGCCGGTAATTGAGACGCCGCCCCGCACCTGGGGTGTCGATCCGGACGGGCATCATTCATTGGAGCTCGGTGGAGGTTTGTGGGGAGCAACCGATGGTTTGTGTTGTCTTCGTTGGCAATGCTTCTCAATTGACGGACTGGATGCGACGGACCATCTTGCCTTGTTCGCTGTTCGCCGAATGCAGCAATACTTCCCCATGAGGTAATGCTGCCAAACATCGGATCGGCCAACTAACAGCGCGGTGTGCACTGTGATAGAGCCCGACTTGGCGTCACTGACAAGTCAGACATGGAATCATGATGGCTGCCATTATCCTTGCCTACCAGTCTGCCATTCTTGTTGGGCCATCTGGGTCACCACCTTCCGTAATGTGTATCGGGGATCCTCAAGATCGCCTTTCATTGAGTTATTTGGGTCCGACCCTATAGTCATCAGCACTCCGATCTCCCAGTTGCCTGGTTTCGACCTCTGTATATTCCCCGGTTTGTCGTATATTTCTCGTACGCCAGAGGCCTTTCGGCAAGATGATTGCACATATGCTCGCTTTTCGTAATATGAGTGGTCAGACTTTGTTGATAGGGCTCACGTATGGAATGAGGCAAAGTATCCGTGTGAAAACAAGAAGCCAGCGAAATGTCGATGAGAGCAGGCTTGCTGAATTCGATCCCCAGTTTAAGAAGTAAACCCCGTCCTTGTCGTTGCCTATCCTGCTAGGTATCCAATCCGTGGTGGCTAGAACAACTGGTCGCCCTGGTACTTGACCTTGGGTAGCCCGGTAGTCCATCAAATACTGAAAACTGGTTTACTTGCTGATCTCGAAATTGAATAGCACAGTACTCAAATCTGACAAACGGTTTGATTGGACTTTTAATCTGAGATATTGTCCTGTACCTCTTTCATCCGCTGTGCCGGTCAGCAGATTGAGGTACTAGGCCGTCGATCAGTACCACTTACTGGCAGCATTACCGAATATAGTTAGTATACATACTTATTCCTGAGGGGTGTTCCTTGCAGTCCAGAATTTATGAGACGCACAAAGCTCGTGCTTGTGACTTGAGACATGACGGTCAAGAGATGAGGACATCTCATCTTGTCGAAAATGCTCAAGGGCTTTACAGATGATCGGTATTTAGTATGAAATGATACTACAACGACAAAGCCACCCCGTCCCGGCTGCTCGGAGGTATTTTCATTCCGCTGAGTCATCATCCATCTACTGCTCCCCGGCCTCCAATTATTCTTAGTATCCGGTTTGTTTTGCCTTGTCTCTCCCCTGAGATGACTTCGATCATTGATCCATCTGAGACATAGTATAAGACCTGCCCCTCCCCGGAGTGGGGGTTCTCCGCTTAGTCAACATGATCGGCTTCCTTGATGTGCGCAGCCCGCAACTCGGCAATGCTTCGCCTACCTATAAAGTTAGACAGAGCGCCTCAACAGACGTGGTTGCTAATAATATGGGAGAATCTCTTGAAGCATAGCATCAGTTTGTCTACTAGTGCCAGACTGTGATATTTCCCGCTCTGTACAGAGTGTTGGCATTTTAACTCCCTCCATGTCTCTTCCGAAGACTCTCCACTTTCCCGAAAGGCCGCAGTTCTCGGCTTTTATGAAGCCATGTCGGGTTGAGGGCGAGGTGAACAATCTAGAGGTCTATGGGGATATTCCAAATGATATCGACGGCATGTTCTTTCGGGTAATGCCTGATCCCCAGATGCCACCCTTCATCGAAGATGATCCGGTTTGTATTCATTCCCCCATTGGTATGCTGTAGCGGATGTGCTAAAAGAACCAGTGGTTCAATGGCGATGGTAATGTAAGCGCCTTTCGGATCAAAAATGGCACCGTATCGTGGAAACAAAAGTTCGTACGTACCGAGAAATTCGTCCGCGAAAGAGAAGCAGGGAAAGCCCTTCTTGGTATGCCGGTTCTCAATCTATGTCTACTAGGCTTTGCTAACTGGTACAGGAAAATATCGGAATAAGTTCACAGATGCCGTCCGGTTCAAGATTCGTAGCACAGCAAATACCAACATTGTCTTCTTCAATGGGCAGTTGTTGGCCCTGAAGGAAGATTCTCCACCATATGCGATGGATCCCTCGACTTTGGAGACAAAAGGTCTGTACGACTTTGAGGGACAACTTCCAAGTGTCACTTTCACGGCACATCCCAAGTTTGATCCGAAAACCGGCGAAATGGTCTGTTTTGGCTATGAGGCAAAGGGTGATGGCACACCAGATGTTTGTTACTACCAGGTCAGGCCAGATGGGTCCTTCTCCGACATCTGCTGGTTTGTAGCTCCTGTTTGTGCCATGATACATGATTTTGCGGTGACTGAGAACTGGGTGAGTGTCGAATCAATTAGATCTGCAATAAAAAACTAACACCACAAGGTACTCTTCCCCCTTATTCCCCAACTATGCGACATCGATCGCCTCAAGGCTGGCGGGGAACACTGGCAATGGAGTCCCGAGACCCCTTTGTATATTGGCGTCATCCCTCGACGGGGCCCAAAGTCTGAAGCCATTAAGGTGGCTGCCATTCGATGCAACTCTTCATACAGCGCACTGACTTATAACAGTGGCTCCGATGGGACAATTCCTTTCCTGGACATACGCTCAACGCGTACGAAGACCACAATGGACACGTTATATTCGACCTCGGTATCAGCAAACAGAATGTATTCTTCTGGTGGCCAGACAGCAAAGGGTCAGCACCCGAGCCCAGCACAATCACTTCGCAATTGATGCGATTCACAATCGATCCGAACACAACAAGTGGAATACTGCCTGACCCCGAGATCCTACATACCGGCAATAGTGAATTCTACAGAATAGACGATCGCTTCGCCACACGAAAGCATCAACACTGTTTCTTCGATCTCATGGACCCTTCCCTGGGCACGGACTTTAAAACAATAGGGCCTCGTCTCGGGGGCGGGTATCCTCTATATAATGCTTTAGCTCACGTGGATTTACATACTGGGATCTCAGAAGTCTATTTCCCTGGTCGGACACATCTGGTGCAAGAGCCGGTTTTCATTCCAAAGGCAGGGTCTTCCATCGAAGGAGACGGATACCTCATGGCTCTGGTCAATGACTACGAGTCGATGACAAGCGAGCTACATCTGTTGGATTTGACGGATTTTAGCAAAGCCAGGGCGGTTATTCCTCTGCCGGTTCGGCTTCGGCCCGGTCTGCATGGAAATTGGGTCGATAGTAGTGATATGCAGTATGTATAAGTTGTGAATTATTGTGATTCGCATGGGAGATGAGAGGGTGGAGAACGTTATCTACTTGCTCTACGTCGCCAGATTATACTGCGGTCCGATGCAACTGCTACGTTCCTACTATGCTGAATGAATAAACCACGATTAAGTCACTGATAGGCTCCTTTCAATGGACCGGAGACCCCGATTAATATGTAACACAAAATGATAGAAGCACGGCATAGCAACAATCCGAGTACTACCGCACTGCCAAAAATACAACTTCCTCGCAGCCAGCTGGTTCACTCCGCAATACCCCTCCGCCAGATCTTCATCGGCATCTCGCCTAAAATTAGATCTGTTGCTATGACGCAAAGACTATAATTATGCTCGAACAAATAGGGAACGGAAACGGGCGCTGGTGCAGAAAAGCACTCCAGATTTCTTTGCGTAAAGCACTGAGGCAGGCTGTGATGAAGGAAGAGGGACGGTGTAGAATGAACATGGGGTTTGGGAAAATGGCCCTGGATATTCCGGTATGTATAGAAAGACTCAATTCCTGGTGTATGGAAGATGAACTTGATAGCATTGAGATATGTATCAGAGTGACCTATCGAGGGGGCTGTAGCTCAAGTCAGCCTTTCAATTGATCATTACTCAGCCTTATAGCAGCAATGAACGGTACCAAATGGTAAGTACCCTCAATTTGCTCGTACGCTCAATTTGCTCGTAGAAGCGTAGAATAGTCGCCGCCGTCAGAACATCCTCATTATATTCCTCACGGGGGTCTTTCGATATCTCAAGCAAGTACGAAATGCAAATTACTCCGATACCGGATAGCTGCTTCAGTGCTCAAACGTAATGAGGCAGCGTTAGCCAGGTTTAATCCTTTCCCTCTTCTGCACGAGGAGGCAAGCCGAGTAAAATGCCCGGCTGATGCTGTGAACATGGCGTAGCGTAAAACCGGACAAAACATCGCTCGTTCGGGGATGACTAGGGAAAATTGACAGTCGTGGTCGCTGGGTTCAAACTTCCTTTCATGTCAGCAGAGGCACTGATGGGGTCTATTGACAAACTTACCCACTGGACAAGGTTATCCGCAAAGTGTCGAATCAAGCATGCCTCCTCCCAGCTGAGATGAGCAGTGACTGATTCGGTGTCGGGCACGCCATGTAATGGCCCCAGTGAATATCGGCCCGTTCGAATTCAACCAGCTAAATCGGGCAACGCTTTGTCAGATTCATTTGCTACTCCTAAGTTGCTGGGGTCGGCTACGACTGGCGAAGTGGGCGGCTTGGGATCTTGTTGTTGGTGACTGCTCGCCTCGGGGACGGCGCCACGAAGATCATTTCGACATATTCGTTTCTAGCAAGTACCTCTGCACCGTGCACAAAACTGTGACCGTGTTGTCCGCGACTTCATCATAACCTCAAGCTTACCAATCAACAGAGGGCAAGGATAGCTGTCAATTGGCTGATAGACTGGAAATGCAAAGAAAGCTTGGGGGAATGCGGAGATTGAACTTAAGAGGAGACCCTTGCCCGATCGGGCCAGGTGATGCGGGGAACCTGCCTGAGATGTAAGGCATGATGGAGGCATTCAGGCACCAGGAAAATATCACGTGTGATACATGATACTATGGGATATGGACTGAGAGCTGCTTTGACATCAGTCATGACATGTTGATTTTCGATAACATTGAGTGGTTATGGTTTGACAACATGGAAATGCAGGACCACCATGCATGTAGTCGGGCCAGTCTGGAAATAATGCTCAGGTATCTTTCGAAACAAGGCTGCCCTTGGCTTGCTCTTGCACACCATGAACTGCTACTAACACCTAGCCATGTCAAGGTATATCTCATATTTGTCTCTCTCAATAGGCTAAGAGATCTCTGAAGTGAATAAAGTGTGAAAACGAGCCCACCGACCAGCTAGTGACGAATCCAGCAGATACGGCGACTAACACCAGTTTCCATTACCGGATCTCTTGATTGCTTCTCACTCTTCAGATCTAGACTCTCTTCTTAACAGTCGCCCTGGTAGCAGTGTGATTTATATCCAAGTCTGACCAGTAACACAGCACTACTCTTCCAAAATATCGTTTCATCCCATTCAGATACTCCCCTCCTTTGATCTGTCTATCCTCAATTACCGCTTCTGATCCTTCGCTTTACTCCTCACCTCATCACCTTTCGCGAGCTACTTCCATCCTTTTCTCCAATAATTTACAACCGAGTCGGGATATTAAGATGATTTGGTCGTCGGAAGCAGACGCAAAGGTAGGCCAGTTGCCCTCACATACTATATGCCATAGTTATATACAAAGCTGACTTTTCAAGCTCTTCGTGGGTGTCCTGAATCAGTTGCGTGGAAAGTTGAAGCTCGACTATCAAGAACTAGCTATGCATATGGGCGGAGGTATTTCTCCTTTTTCTTATATTACCTAGAGTATATAAACTGATGTACCTAGATTGCACCCCCTGCGCCGTTGAGCAGCGCATGATACGGCTCAGGAAGCAGGCAGCCAGCGCATCCCCAGCAGCGTCCACTGGCACTGGTGGCGGAGCTGCTAGTGCTCATTCTACCCCCACTAAAACCCCAAGGAAGCGTAAGGGAGATGGTCTAGCAACTCCTGCGAAGAAGAAGACCAAGACCGTTGCTGCTGCGTCTGCCAAATCGGAAGTTAAGAAGGATGATACCACTACCGTCAATGAGGATGGAAAGGCTGAAGTCAAGGTCAAGCCTGAGATCAAGAATGAACCTGTGGAATGACGGTGTGCTTGGGCTGGGTTGTTATCTACGTCTTTCTATGGATCTCTGGGCGACGGAATTTTGTATTGGTCTACATACGGGGACAGGAGAGTTCTGGTGAGATAGACCTCGGTTGATGGATGGAGATAGTATCAATATTAAGCACCGCATCTTACTATTGAGCGATTCCACGGTTAACTAGCATTCGTCGCCATGTAAAGACATCGAAAACGACCTAGGATAAGAAAAAATTCCCTCTATGGACAGTCAGCCCGTAGGTCACGATGGGATCATGACCCATAGTCACGACACCCTAATTCTTATCCTCCGCAGCAGAAGGAATATGAGCCTCAACACCGGACTCTTCCGACAACTCCTCTTTGACCTTCTTCTTTGTCTGGCGACTCTTCTTAGGGGTCGGTGTGGCAGGCCCATCGTCTGACACCTCCCCTTCCTTGACCTTCTTGGTTGCGCGTCTCTTCTTGGGGGTAGGTGTAGCAGAGCTATCATCGGCAGGGCGCTTCCCATTCATACTGAATGAGATACCGGACTTGATCCCCTTGCGATATTTTGCAAGGTGCTCCTTCAGGGCCTTTGCCGTGGGTTTATCATCACCGGCTGTTGTGGTTAGCAATCATGATTTTCTGACATTTTTTTTAAATGAGGGGGCCTCAAAATGATGGACCCACGCCAGCCTTCAGCAATCTTGTCCAAATCTAGAGTCAGAGTCTGGGTTTCAAAGATGGTCCGCCATAGCTATTGTCTCCTGGGTTAGAGATTGTGATGATTGGGTATCTGTTCAGAGGCACGGTACCAGTTCCTCATTTTCTGGGGTCCAACGCATGGTTGATGGCCGATTGGCTTGGATCTGATGTAAGGGGAAAGCTTGAGGTGAGGAGTATCAGAAGTTATAGAGTGCGAGGTAGTTTAAGTGTAGGCGGAGCGGAGAAAGTCTTGAGACAAGATATAGAAGTTATTCTGTGTTCTAGCCGAGATGCACCAAGGCGAACAAGCTTTTGGTAGAGGTAAGACGATTGGAGGGTGGCTCGGCGATCAAGTGTTTGTTGTACAATGAGATAGTATTCCGACGCAGCGGCGCAAGAAAGACGGGCCATTAAGATGTGCGAGTTTAGTATTCACTAGCTAGCAGTCACTGTTTCGTTTCCCGGGCAAGCCAGAAACCGCTGTGCAAAAGTAGACAAGGCAATCGATTCTCTCTGAAAGAGAGACATGGTAGGCGTGGGCGGGATCACGGAGAAACCAAATATATAAGCTCATAGGGTAGCATATCCATTCGGAACTCGACACTGTATAGTACTACATGAGAACTAACGTAAGGGTTGTCGTTTTGTCCGTTGAGATGATTGGCATTATCAGTGGGTCCCAGACATGCTGCACGGTGGAATTATCAAACCCAATGTTGAGCACATGGCATGCAAGGGACTACGTTACTCATACAAAACATGGCGACCTGATGGGCAAGGCAAACTTTGCAATAGACGTCAATAGTGTCATTGGTTGTGTAGCAAGTCAGCATTCAGTTTGGTTACTTCCTCGGGTGCAAATTAAGACCTAGTTAGATGAAAGTGAACTAGTAGCCTTAGGCCTAGTTTTGTAAAGAGCCGGCTATAATAACGTGATGTTATTGAGCAGGGGTGAGTTGCAAATCGATCGAGATTCGAGAATCTGCCCGAGATCTTACCGACTTACAAAAGCGTGATTGGCCCGCCGCTGACCGAAAAAGGAAAGGCGCGCTGCATGGAGTGCCAGGCATGCAGGCATCCATGGTTTTATGCACGCCTCGAAAGGTGCCAAAAAGTATATCCCCCTGTCCTCTCACCACCATCTTGTCAGTAGTATCGTCCAGATATTGCTAATTCTTGCCTACACTCTAGGCATTACATATCATTCCCACATGATCTGACGAAGCTTCCTATCATGATAATCACTCCAACAAGTTAGTTTCATCCCCTGTGGGAATCGCGGGACTAGTGCGTGAATAGCCGCAATAACGACCACAATGCTAGTGTCTTGAGGTGGAGAGGTAAGGTCGGGATGACCCAGCCATTTGAAAACTCATCATTTGGGTTAAGTTGGCTTTGGTCCTGATTACCCCGCTACGCTTATTTGTTGCAAATTTTGCTTCTTCGCTTTCCCCTCTCAATCTCAAGCAGTCCTTCCAATCTCCATCATGGTCCCTTCCACTGTTGTCCTTGTCCCTGGTGCCTGGCATCAGCCGTCCTGCATGCGCCAGCTGCAGGATGAACTGACAAGCCGGGGGCTCAATGCCACCACAGTGGCTCACCCGTCCATCGGCAACACCTCCCCACCACTGAAAACCATGGTGGATGACTGGGCGAGTCTGCACGCCGCCATCGAGAAACTCGCGGATGACGGTCATTTTGTGACGGTTGTAGCTCATTCATATGGAGGTGCGGTTACGTCGGGCGCAGCTGAAGGTTTGAGCGTCGCCGAGCGACGTGCTGCTGGAAAGGCAGGTGGGATTGTTAAGATCGTATACCTCGCGGCTTTTGTCGTCCCCAAGGGCCAGACCCTTCTCGGTTATTTTGGTGGAGTTGCCCCTACATACTGGGAATTCAAGGTTGGTCTCATCATGTCAATATGGCCGCGATACATGAACGATACTGAATGGTTGAGTGGACCAGGGTGACCTAGTCTATGCAAACAATCCGGAGATCAGCGATCCGGCCAATCTCTTCTACAATGACCTCCCCAGCGATGTTCAAGATTATTGGATCTCTCAGCTTCTTCCCATGACAGCGGCGTGTTCCCAAGTGCCAAACACTTACGAGCCATGGAAGTATATTCCATGCACATACATCCATGCCAAGCAGGACCAGACTCTGCCACTGGAGATTCAGGAAGATATCGTCGCCACTATGGGATCCGTTACAACCCTGACCCTGGACTCTTCTCATTCGCCTTTCTTGAGCATGCCCCGTGATGTTGCCCTGCTGGTCCAACAATCGGTTGAGGAGGGACTGGAACAAGCCACTGGTGTTGGTATCTCCGCCGCATAATTTGTGTTGAACTCCGTCTTAAATCACACTCTAAAAACACACTTCGAAACATTATCATCAGCTTGAGGCATGTTAGGTATCATATCAACAACAATCATCCATGTATTGGGGTACAACGCGCTCCTGGAGATGCCTGGCAGCACTTCAGAGCACAAGAGCACCTGTGATCATAGTAACAAATCGGACTAAGATCCTGAGTTCAGACATCTCACAATCATCTTGGAGAACAATTCAAACGGTCAGGTCAAGCACGAGGAAGTAGCGCAACCTGCTGGCGGCCGTTATGGCGGCCAGTAACCAGAATATCTGTGGCTAGTGATAGCTTTACAATGCCTTCTTCTTGTCGGCTTGTGTTGAGAATGTCATCGCGTCTGCGAGATATAGTCTAGCAGCGATACTCATAGTATACTGTTCTGGCTCACTTAGCAAAAACATCAACCTAGAGAAGGTGCAATTGGCTAGACCTCGCTAGGACTAGTAGTAACAAGGCTTCCTCGAGACCCTCCGGAGGCGGTGAGGTGAGGATCTGGATCTGCCTCCCCGGCGCCGCCTCAATTCTCTCCACTCCTTCACTTTTCTGCCTCTAGCCTCAACTTATCAGTCGTTAATCTAACCATCCGATGGCTGCAGACCCTTCGCAGTACACCAGTGGGGGTTCTCTTTCACTATGCCATCATAAAGGGAAGAAGACCCTCGTTGCCTGTGACCAGTGCCATCGCCATAAGCTCAAATGCTCGCCTCGATCCCAAGGATGCGCCCGCTGTCATCGTACGCCTCCACTTCCCGCTGCCTCACCCTGCCATTTCTGATCAACCCCAGGATTAGGGATACAGTGCACTTCCAGTCGCCCGATTAAGAGACGCGGAAGGCGACCAACTAGACAAACGCCCCCACTTATACCTCCTCAACTATCGGAACATCCATTGTCGGTGCGGCCCATGACACCCTCCCCGGCTTATGCGCAGGTGTACTGAACCCGACTGCAGGATGCACCTGATTATCCTGTATTGGACTGTCTTTGCGATCTGCAGATTTTGACGTCGGAACAAGCCACGCCCAGGTATTCCCCCAACCTCCATCATGTCTTGGAGCCTAGCACGCTCACCACATGCAATAGCACTTCCCCGCTTCAACTTTCACGTTTCGAGGCCTGTCGTCTGTTGGAGCACTTCTATGCTTCACCCAACCAAGAATTCCATGTCTTACTCATCCGAAAATGCAGACTCCTAGATCAGTGTGCCCCAAGGCCCATACTCCCAACCCTGCTACTTTCAATCCTATGTACGCTTACGGACTTCTCCCGAGCAATGACCCTTCGGCCATCTTACACGCTACAGGTGTCGCTTGTTTCATGCCGCCGGCGGAGCAGTCACTTTATGTATCCGAACGAACAGTTAATGAGCGGATGGCTCAAGGACGCTATCTCCTTGACAAGCTAATACAGCATTTTCACCCCAGGACATTACCTGATACTAACCATGTGCTCGATGATGCCTTAACGGCATTTATCATGACAAGTATCGCCCCGAGCGAAAGATCGGTCGAGTCGAGTTTGCAATATTGGCTTATATTTCTCAGATTTGTTGTTCAAAAGTTGGAGCTACACAAAGATGTACCCGATCTTAGTCAGGATGACAAAGAGGAACGGAGGAGGTTTGTCCTTGATGCCAGAATATACATTAGCCACAAGGTCGTTAATATCGAGATCATGACAGGTTATGGTGGGCAACCTATATAATAGATCGACATGCGGCTTTGTCATTCAACGGACGACCGCGAATCACCGACAATGAATGTCTGTTTCTCCCGACTCCACGCCCTGATGCATCATGGAATCAGCCTGGCCCATTACTTCCCCATGGTCAACAGCCAGGCGCGCATGAAACAGTACTCAGCTATCATGTTAGGGATCTGGATATGCTAGGGCTTTTCCTGCCTCTTTCAAGGTAGGATTCCCTGTGGTTCGCCAAGTTCAAGCCGTCGTATCTGAACCTAGTGCAGGATTCTGGGCGAAATCTTGGAATATCGCTTCCTTAGCGACCATTCAACATTCAACACATGCCATGATCTTTTGAACACGGTGCAAACGAATATTTCGCAGCACCTCAAGATGTGGTATCAATCTTTTGAGGCTCTTGTAGGCTCGGAGTTCAGATTGATTGCTGAGCCAGATTGCCATTTATGTCCGGTAGCAGAAGTCCCACCAGTGGCCTACTATGGATTTCACATGTACCACTGCATGTTTGTATTACTACATGGTCCAATGGACGTGGTGCGGATGTATCAAGACCTTGCATGGCAGTCTTCTGCCGACTTTCTGACAGCCGGCGAGCATGCTGTAGCTTGTGCAAATGTGAGTCACCACAAATTGCGTAGGCATATTTTGAAGAAGAACCCGAAGTTCTATCTTTTTGTAGACCGCTTTGCTCACATGAATTCAATGAAGGTTGCCAGACACATATTGCGGATCGATCCACAACTGTCACTGATGTATAGATTCTTCGGAACCTACTTTTTACAGTCTTCATTCATCTTTCTCATTCTGGCACAAAAGCTGGGGAAGCAATCAGACGACCTAATCTTACGCAATTGTTCAATAAATTTACAGGTTTTGGACATGTTTGTAGCTGCGACAAACATGGACTACCAACGCACGTTTGCCAAGCTCTTGCGCCGGACACTGTCATTCAATATGGCTGAATCTTCCGGGGATATTGCCCCCGGCCATGGTCAATCGGCGCCGGAACTTACTGGTGTCCCGCATTCGTCTTTGGATCCAGAAATGCTTCGTTACCGCTGGGCCCCAGGCTATACTGGATTATGGGTTGGCCCAATGAGCTGAAAATAGATCAAACATACCGTCCGTTCACTACTGTATCAAAGCCTGCACTGCCAGGCCTTCCCAAAGTTTTACAAGGGTCTAACAATTGTCATTATGCTACTAGAGCTTTATATAATATGGCTCGGACCAGTTATGGCTTGTATGGCCTGCTGGGCGGAACGCCAATGTCTGCCCAGAACCTGGAATCTGTGCAACCTATCCGTCCAAGTCTGATCTGATTCCATGTGGACTGTTGATGTGATTCGGTCACTGCCATAGACAGTTGCGTTACCGGTCTCGATATTGGGAGATGGGGCCGTGATGAATCGGATCCAATCTTCTTGAACGCGGTCGACAAGGGCGGCGTTTGTCGGTGCTTCGGCTGGCAGGGCCTCGTCTGCAACACTTATTGCATCTGCGAAGCAATTAAAAATATATATTAAGTCGACGCAGTGCTGGGCAATCCCTTGCCTGGGTCCCGGAAATGGGTTGCCCACACTCATGCGATACGAGTGCACCGCAGTAGGACGGGGAACGGTGGGGCTTTCTGTAAGCTTTTCCATGGGCACCTCCCAATCCTTCAGTTCTTGTCTTGCACATTGCACAGGATATCCGAACTGTATATCCGTCAACAGCTGAAGCACCCGTTTTCTAAGCTCCGTTGAGGAAGTGTCTGGCCGAAAGCCGTAGGCCTGGTATAATTGTTCCAAGAACTCCCTCGACTCCACCCCTGCATATAGTTGTTCGCTCAGATGCTCATAATCTCTGATCTTATTTACCTCGTTCATGTGTAAAAGACCCTGTTCTCTGTAAGCATATGATATTGACCCGGTGCGATGAACTGACAGACCTCGACATCGGTATCACCGATCAGAACCGGAATTACTTCGGTACCAGAGGCCGGTGTTTCCGTAACAGATTCAGTCTCGGGGCCTTCAAGGTGTACTTTCCAGCGACCATTTGGCCTTTTTGAGATTGTGAGACCATCTTCCACTAAGGGACAGACAATGGAACCCAACTTGCCAGCCGCTTGCAGAATCTCCGCGGGCGGAAGGTTTGCCATGAAAGCCATTCGGGAAATAGCATCGCCTGCGGGAGCTCCTGCATGCTGACAGAAAGCACTCCAGCGCTTGTTGCAGACTTCCATCGAAATGGGACCGAGCACACCGAGAGTTCCCGATTGAATGATTCCTCGCTGAACCAAGGGCTCACCTCTGCCAAGAATAGCCTCGAGGACGTGGGCATGCGACGAGCTTCCACCCGCTGATTGACCTCCGACGGTGACCTGGGTGGCATCACCGCCGAAAGCACCAATGTTCTGACGCACCCAGCGAATAGCGGTTCGCTGATCGCTCAGGCCGAAGTTGCACCCTTTCCTCTGACCTTCCGGTTGGGCTTGAACGATCTCGGATGAAGCCGCGAAACCAAACATGTTGAGGCGGTAGTTGATGGTGGCCACAATCATGGGAGTGCCTAGCTCAACCGATTTCTTAACGAGGCGAGCCGGATCTATTAGGCAGTCAGTGGTACTGTGACTGATTACACCAGTTCCTCAAGCTACCAACTTACCCCACATCGGGTCTGTTCCAGCACCGAAGCTATACGCTCCTCCATGGATATACACATATACTGGCAGTTTCACTCCCTGCGCGTTGAAACCGGCTGCAGCAAGGATCGCAGCACTGGGTCTTGTTATGAACAGATTGAGACAGTCGAACTCCGACTCTGTTACGTCGGCCGGGAACTCGAGATGAGATTGATACTCGTCGGTGTTGTTAGGGTCCTGCGGCTGAGGGCAGCGAGGACTGGTGCACAGGTATCAGAATTAGCGGGCTACAGTCCTGCACACTGCGAAGCAACATGTCGACCTACCCGTTTCGTGTGGCATCAAATTCATCCTGGGGTAAGCGATCACGGAGCAATGCATGCTGCCATCTGGCCGGCACAGTCCCATACGGGATCCCTCGAAACTCCTCGATTCCTGAGATGGGTGATTTTCGACCGATCACGCGCTGAGGATATGAGGGCGAGGTTTGCGTTGGGACAATGACGACTACTGGGTCGCTGGACGAGGCGGGAGCCTGGTCAGGATCCTCGGGCACCCGAAGCTGACGCACTGCAGCAGCCATAGTGTCCGTGTGAAGCAAGGAATAGAAATAAACAGGTGTTTGCGATCCCGAGAAACATGGTCGGCGCGGCTAATGATTTATACCTGTCGGGATCGACCATCGTAGAGTTGCATCCCTAGGGTGGATCCCCCTTGTTTCCGTTTGCTGTTCGCGGCCGTCCGCATCCCAAGCTAATCCGTCCCATACCCAATCAGCATCGCTGTTCGGACCGCGCCGGTGAACTCTAGTCGGTGAATTACGCAGCTAGCATTCGGCCAATTTCCTTCTTTACGGCTGGGATCTCATTCATTCGGTCGGCTGACAGGGCTTCTCCGCAACCCCGGCTTTGGGGACGAGAAAAATCTGGGGTGGAAAGGATAAACTCATCCCCAAGTTGCCTCAATATAAAAAGCACATCCTGACAACGCCCATTGCACAATGTCTTACTCTCTCCTTGTGCGTTCAAGTCGGTTATCCGTCTGGCTGTTTAAATACTCTCTTCACTATGACGGCTCCAATGTCGGCCGCAGCTGCCGCCCGAGCTGACTGGCGTGCCATTGCAATCTGCCTATTCATCACCATCGCAGCGTTTCAATTTGGCTTCGACTCGTCCTATTACTCTGGTGCGTTTGTGTAACTTTAATCCTTCTACTGACCAGCGATCCGCTGAAGACCATGATACTGGCGGACTTGCTTTGATTACAGTACGCTAACATACATCCCTATAGGTATACTGGTGATGGAGCCCTTCATCAAAGCCTATGGACATTATGACAGTGCAACCGGCGACTATGTTCTCAGCTCCAGCATTCAGTCTCTCACCACCAGTATCATCAATGTCGGTGAGCTCGTCGGAGCCGTATCCTCATACCTTGTCGATGACAGAATCGGTCGCCGAGGGGGCTTGTTTGTTTCAAGCACATTCGTTGTCTTGGGAGTGATCTTTCAGGTCTCCGCCGATAATCTTGCTCTGTTAATTGTTGGGCGGCTACTCCTAGGTCGGTACTTATTCATTGACCGAGGCTGTACCACCGCTGCGGTCGCCGATACGTTACAACTGTTGCTAACCGATGCGTAGGGTATGCCGTGGGTCTGATTTCGTGCTTGGTTCCGCTATATGTCGCCGACTGTGCCCCGGCCCGGTTCCGTGGGGCTCTGGTTTCTCTCTACCAATTCGATGTTGGTCTTGGACTGCTACTGGGTGTCATCGTGGACAATGCGACCAAGAATCGGAACGACAGTGGCGCTTATCGGATCCCCATGGCGGTTCAGCTGGTCTTCCCAGTCATTTTGGTCCCGGGGCTTATCTTGTTTGCCCCTGAATCACCTCGCTGGCTCTTGAAGAAGGGGAAGACGGAGCAAGCCCGTGCAGCTCTCCGTCGCTTGCATGGCAATCGACCCGACGTGATCGAGAGCGAAGTTTTGTACCTATCCGGGACAATCGAAGAAGAACGTCGCGCTGAAGGTTCGTGGAAGGAGCTACTACACTGGCATCAGGACGGTCGCAAAGCATACTTGGGCATGGCACTACAAGGTAAGATGGAAAGCCCTTCTCCTTCTATTGTTTTCCGATACTAAATGTCTTCTCCCCATCAGCATGGCAACAAGCATCTGGAATCAATTTCATCACCGGCTACGGAATTGTGTTCTTCTCGGCTATTGGAATGACCAATTCATTCCTGATCCAGATGGGCTTGTATCTGGTCCCCATGCCCGCGGTATGGCTGAACCAATACTGCGTCGAACGTTTTGGCCGTCGCCCTATGCTTCTTCTCTCGTGCGTCCTTGTTGCCATCGTGCTTCTGATTGTCGGCGGGGCCGGAACAGCATCCCATAAAACTATGACTCTCGACCGATTGATCGTCGCTATGGTATACATTTACATGATCGTGTATAATCTTTCCCTGGGCCCCGCCGTTTGGGTCGTTACTTCGGAGATTGCTGCCGGACCGAACCGCAGCAAGTTGATGGCTACGTCGACGGGAGTCAATTGGTTTTGCAGCTGGATGGTGACTTTTACCTTCCCATATCTCTTCGACAGCGATGCTGCCAATTTAAGCGCCCGAGTCGGCTTCATCTACGGTAGCCTGATGGTCGCAGCAACGGTTTGGATATTTTTCCTGCTTCCGGAGACGTCCGGACGCACGCTGGAAGAGATACAAATCCTCTTCAAGAATGGTGTATCCGCCCGCAGCTTCAAATGTATATCAAATAATCCCCCTTGCTTATTGTTACGCAACAACGTGACTGATTCATCTTTTTGCAGCTTATGACATTGCCGGAGCGCCAGGTAATTCTGTCCTCGAGGAGAAAAAGGAGGCTCATGCGACTGAGGTGGAGGAGGTATAGGGAAGGGGTGCCGGACTTGACTCACATTGCGCGTGTGGTAGACTATATATGATGTTATTCAGTAACCAGTTGCTGCGAATCTAATTCTTCTCTCGCTTGCGACAAAGCGTTTCGCGGGCATACAAATCATAATCTGTTTTCTGGCATTGTTTTAGAGCAATGAAATAGACTTCGAAGTTCCAGTACCAGTTACTAATGCATTTGATTCTTGTTGAAAGCGTAGAGAAAGATGCGTCTAGTGTACCAATCAAATACTTACTAATATCTACCCGATGCCAAACTTTCTTTGGGCTCAGCCGGACCTCGGGTAAACGGGGTTTCTGTCTGCTACACGAATATGCGCGAATTGAAAGCGAACCATTATTATGGTATCGAAATAAGTTTGACGTTGACTCTTAAGGGTTTTCATTGTCGGCAGGCTCCGACAGGGGGTGATTAGAACAAACAATAGCGACTATGGTGGTGGCAGTCATAGTTGGACTTTTCGCTGTCTAAGAAAGAAATCGACCATGGAACGACCCATGCAAATGACAGCAGCGTAAGAGTTTTGCTGAACGATGTTTACCCGTCCCTGAATCCTAGAGCTTATTAGGCGAACGAAACGTTAATAGCATTAGGCTCGCATTTCTCCATATTCTGCGTCCCTGACCTGTCCACCGAGACGAGGGCGTGGCCGGATCGACCGGTTGATCGACCGTGGCTGATTTTTTGGTCCGAAGGACATTGTTTACTTGAAACCACTTATAGTCGAGAAAACCATGCATTGGTTGCTTGGCAATCGTACCTGTCGAGTTTTCTCGAAGACAAACACGGCGGAATTAACCTTAAAGTCAGGGTCCTGGAGTAGGCGACCCAAGAACATGTTCGGGATGTGAAACACGCCGTTGGTGCGCCGGCACAGGACCCCTAATTCAGGGTCCTCGGCATGCCACGATGCCAATTCCCAGTCCACGGTTCGCGCCCCTTCCTTGGCCCGTGGGTTGCAAAAATTTTGTCGGTCCCTTTGCCCTGAGCCTCTAGATACTCTATATCAATACTTCTGCCTGAAACAATGAAACTAGCCTATTTCTCTGGGCATCGGCACACTACTGGGTTCGCCATGTGATGTGCTGGGCGCGTGGGAAAGATCTAAGAGATAAATTTCAGCCCTGCTGCCCAGGCGATGGGCACCGATCAGTGAAGTTCTTTTCTCATATCACCCAGTGAACACCGCAATGAAGCTTCTATCCTTTCTGCTTGGGCTGGCAGGTCTTGCTGCTGCGAGTCCCATGGGACTTGCTGAACGTCAACGTAAGCAGTTACCATCATCCTTTGAACTGAGCGACCCCGGCTAATTGGTTAGTTTCCGATGGCAACGAACTGCGCGAGGGCTCTTGTAAGCCCATTATATTTATCTTTGCCCGAGCATCTACTGAGCCTGGCCTGCTCGTAAGTAACAGGGTTCCTTTCACCTAATCAAACACTCAAAATACTGACGAGAATCCAAGGGTATCTCCACTGGTCCTGCTGTGTGCAACGACCTTAAGATGGCCAAAGCTGGCCAGGTCCTCTGCCAGGGCGTGGGGCCCGCATATACGGCTGATCTCATGTCGAATGCACTTCCTGACAACACTTCCCCGGCTGCCATCAGCGAGGCGGAGAGTCTCTTCAAGCTGGCTGCTTCGAAGTGCCCTAACAGCCAGATCCTGGCTGGTGGGTATAGGTTAGTGGCTCTTCCATACCCTTCCACCACACCTTAGGCACATGCTAATTTCCATACAGTCAAGGAACAGCCGTGATGGACGACTCCATCAAGCAGCTTTCTGACGACGTCAAGGACAAGATCAAGGGCGTTGTGCTGTTTGGTTACACCCGCAATGCCCAAGAGGGAGGTCAAATCGGCAATTTCCCCAAGGACAAGGTCAAGATTTACTGTGCCATGGGTGATCTTGTCTGCGATGGTACCCTCATCGTCACCGCTGCACATTTCACCTATGTCATGAACACGGGTGAAGCTTCTCAGTGGCTGGAGTCTAAGCTCAGCGACACCACCACTTCTTCATTGACCGATTCGTCTTCATCTGGTACCTCTTCGGGCACTTCGACCGGTGATTCCTCTTCGGAGTCCTCATCCGCAACAGGACTGGGTGGACTGAGTGGTCTATCTAGCCTGGGCTCGTCCACGTCTGGCGGTTTTCCTTCTCTGGCGTCGCTTTTCTGAGCCGCTAAGTCCACATAGGCTAGAGTGGCCATGGTGATGAATCGATAATCCCAGTCTGAAGGTTCTCCGCCTTTCGTATATGAGTTTAAAGAACCTTATGATGTTTCAAGCTTTACATCTTCAGACATTGAACCGCATGTCCGATCGAAGTCGAGGTGGATATTGCGAGTTCATGAAGCAAGCTGTTTGACATTAGCCTTTTCGCTCTCACGCTGCTTAGGTCAAATTTGTATTGCTTCGAGAGTCCCGAGGGGGTCCTCGCACACCTGCTTGTGTATAATGAGCCTACTTGAGATTTTCCTGCCATGTGGTTGACTAGTAACGGCAAGCGAGCGAAGTAGATGGATTTGATTCTTTGACCGTCAAAAAAGCTTTTATACTACGACGAATTGATCTACCATTTTAGTCAGCCCCAGCAAGCACACTAGACTAACGGTTTTCTAAGAAGTTCGAACACCTCAACACTCATTCCCAGCATAGCTTCTGACAAGAACAACTGGTAAACTTAATTAACTTGACCGTCAAGCTATATCATGATTCTTTCTCGATGGAACTGAGGTTTTGAGGGTTCCTTTTCTTGCGACGATTATCTCGCAACAGTGGGACAAATTGAAGATATATGACTGGGATTAAGAATGAAGACTCTATAGCTAGATTGGGATCGAAATGCATATGTACTGCCTGAGGCATACTCTGCCATATCGCAGTGCCTCATCGGGAGATGAAAGAAGTAAAGGCGCCCTACTAAATTCCTCACCAGCTCATAAGTTGCCTTAACTACAACCGCCAGGGTTTTCCCTTCCATAACTGGCAATGATTTTTTGTGAATAATCCTGGGAGACGCCATGTTGACTGGAGGACAAACCAAATCAAATATTTGGTAACATTCGGGAGCCGACGTTCAGTCTGTATGACCGGTGATAGCTTACAGGAGTTACCCGTTAATAACAGCTATAGATCCCATATGCCGAACAATTCCTTTATTGGGGTGGGGGGTACTTTTTCTCGTCTTTTTCTAGAAAACATGGTCATGGCTGTCACGAGTCGTAACATCTCGGTGAGCCTCGTGGGCTAAGTTGAAATTGCCTTCTGCGAATGTTGTTGACTCCTCTTCGGTCAATACCCAGTATTTGTAGAGCGAATGGATCATGTCAGGGCTTTCTTTGGTTCCAGAACCAGGTCGATGGGATGTAAGAGGTCCCACAAATGGGTAATCCTTCGTGCAGGTCGCGAAAAAACAGTTGAATCCCGCTAGGGTCGGGAATGACGTCTACTTCTGATCTAGCAGGATCATGTAGAACTTTCAATCTCCAATCTCCAATATATCACGTCGTGATGGCTGCCTCTTCCATCGTTCGCAGATTTGCCATCAAGTATGACACTATTGCTGACCTCGTCTCGCTGCATTGTTTTCGGCGGGTACCGAATTGGGTAAACTCCACGAGGTGTGCGGACCCTCTCCCTTTTTTGACTCTGTTTATCCTTCAGTTCATGGCGGGCAGGCCGGTCGACGAACGAATAGATAATTCTTTGGAAGTATTTGTCAACATCACGATTTTACTAAAACCTTATTGGGGTGGATATTTGTGGATGTCCAGTGTCGATAACCGAACCACATGGCAAGGGGACGAACAGCCGGTTCCTTGCATGGTGGAGACCTCGAAGACGGGATTGACTAGGACTGAAATGTGTGATGCCGGCAGATCTCCCAGGAAATACTCTGAATGGGAATCCTCTTGTAAGCGTGATAGTAGACTGAGAAGGAAACAGAGGGAGAAAGAAGTGACCAGCAGCACGTGGCCGAGTAAATAACTCCATCACGTGTGGCCATTCCAACCGGTACTGGTACTGGCTTCCCTCTTCCCACCGTCCACCTTCCAACTTCCAACATCACAATCAGCTTCTGCTGCTTCTTCATCACCTTCAACTCTCGTTCTCAACGGATAGTACTACTTCACCATTCTTGACTCGAGTAACACCAATAATACCTCTTGTTTCTCCACCCCTCCGGATTGCTTCTAGGGACTTCTGAACCCCCGGCAAGAAATTTCGTATCTCTGCACGACCCATCCCCAGCAATATCCATTAGTCACAGTCCTCCCTGGCCTGCTCTCCCCTCCATTGCATCTAGGCAGCAGTATGGCCTGACATGAAGTCTCTGACTGACTCGAGAATCGATAGTTTTGCGCCTCCCACGCCAAGCTCTGTCCACCACGTGGGAGAGATTCCCCCCGACGACGACAGAATACTCGATACAACAGCATCCAGAAATGGCACCATGTACTAACCTCCACTGAATCGGCTGATTCTGACTGGCCTCGTCTTGCATCCATCAACTCGCCGTACCAATCAAGCTAGACCTGGTCTCGACCTGGTGGAGAGGTGCCAGTTAGCGGAACGGCGGCGCGGGTGGAGAACCATGGAATCTTTCCTTCGGAGCAAATTCCACGCCTTCCGGGCGCGGCTTTTCCCTTCTTCACCCGCGACCCGTTTAAATAGGGACCCCCTGCTGCGTGGCCATCATCATGCCAGCTCTTGTTCTTGCACGCCTCATCCTCAATTCCTATACTGCCATTCTCCATCATGGGCTTGATGCGCAAGACTGCTGACCAAGCCCTGGGCCTGACCGCCACCGCCCTGGCTCTGGTCAGTGCCGCCCAGGCCACGGCCCCGTCCGTCACCGTCTCCCAGGGTCTCGTCCGTGGCTTCGAGAAAAATGACACCAATGTCTTCCTGGGCATCCCGTTTGCCGAGACGACCGCTGGTGAAAACCGCTGGAAGGCCCCTAAGGCTCTGTCGTCCTTTGCCGGAGGCGAGTTCAATGCTACCACCTATGGCCCCTCGTGCGCGCAGGCCATGTCTGGCACCACCATCACGGCCCAGAGCGAGGACTGCCTCAGCCTGAACATCTGGACTCCGCTAAGCGGTAGTGATCTGCCCGTCTTCGTTTATATCTACGGCGGAGCCATGGTTACTGGTGGCAGCAGTAATGCCCAATGGCAGGGCTACAACTTCGCCCGCAAGGACGTCATCTATGTCAACTTCAACTACCGTGAGAGCATCTACGCTTCGCCTAATGCCCCGGAACTGGAGGGCCAGTCGCAAAATTTTGGCATCATGGATGTTGATTTGGCCGTGCAGTGGGTTTATGACAACATCGAAGGTATGCTTTCTAGTTCCATTGCCAGTCAGTCACTGTTACTAACCGACGGCGCAGCTTTCGGAGGAAACAAGTCGAACATCGTGCTGGGTGGTCACTCCTCTGGCGGTGTGCACGTGGACCATTACCTCTGGAATCACCCGGAGACTTTCCTGGCTGGCGCCGTGGAGATGTCGGCCAACGCTGAGTCCGGTCCGGCCTATGCCCCGGCCGGCGTGGCTCTGACTCAGGTCGTTGAGGATATGTTGGCGGCCAACGTGACGCTCGGCTGTAATGCCAGTGACTACACGCTGGACTGCCTGCGCGAGGCTGATACCTACGCCTTCCAGACCACCTACTTCAATTCTACTTCCAACACCTGGTTCTCCCCCGTTGTCGACAACATCACTCGCTTCTCCAACTACACCGAGCGTTTTGCTCAAGGCTACTACCCCAAGTCCCTGCCTCTTATGGTTGGTAACTCTGACCAGGAGGGCCGTCTGTTTGCCTATGCCTATGCTTCCGAAAACACCAACTTCACCAAGTGGATCCACACCTTCGACGCGGATGTCGCCTGGGTGCCGTCCGAGGAGCTCTTGGATGCGTACAACAGCTCTGATTACTCGTCCGTCTCCTTTGAGAGCGGCGCCTGCTACGGTGATGCCCGTTTCCTCTGCTCAACCGACTATCTTGTCGACGTGCGCTCGAGTGAGCAGCCCACCTGGATCTACCGCTGGTTTGGTAACTACTCGAACGTGCTTGGCGTCGCTGGCATTGGCCCCTCCCACGGCAGTGAGGTGCCCTTCTTCCACGGTGGTAATGAGTGCTTTTCCAAGTTGAGCGACGTTACCACCGCCGAACAGGAGCTGGCGGACTACATGAACGACTGGTTTGTGGCCTGGATCAAGGAGCCCAGCGCCGGCCCCGGATGGGACCAAGCTCAACCCGTCAACGGTCCTCTGGCCCGCCTGGGAGTTCCGGGCAACGAGCTGGCGATCGAGATGAGTACTACCGGCGCCTACAACGGACGCTGTCAGGCCGTATACAAGCCTAACTTCCCTAAGTACCCGGTGGTGCAGAACCCGGTGCTGCTGGATTCGTAGAGGATGGAGACGATGTGACGATGTGACTAGCGACGCCGCCGTGGGGCGTGCACTTTTCTGTAAACCAATTTCATTTTACGAGACATAATTTCATCTAATGATTTCATTTCCGTGTGTGTGTTAAGACTGTTAAATTTCATTGTATGACCTAATGTGAATGCGGCACTAAGCTCGTTTTAGGATGCCTCCGACCTTGGGTGGCTCCAGGCTTGCGCCATCAGTTGGTAGGCTGCAATGCTCAGGTACCAGCTGGCTGTCGGCGGAATCCGTTTCCTTTCACTGCTACTGCTGTCTTCCAGGAAATTTGGAACGTGCTTGTTGGCGTTGGGACCGAATCGATAGTGTTCCTCCCCGGCCCTGGCCCTGAACGGATCGTGACTCGCGCTGGACGATCTCCTGCAGGCCTGCAGGTGCCAGGAACACCACTAGTCTACCGGGCTGCGCGGTGCAACGCGGACGATGGCCGAGGGCAAGCCTAAATTGCGGGGACTTGATCCGCCGAAGTTCAGCCAGCGCCGCAATCAGCATTGAGCTGGTGGATCATTGTGGAACAATGTCTTAGACGGGCCCCATTGCCAGGAAAGACCGGCGGACCAAATGCAAGACAGAACAGTTCCATACCTCCCTCACAGTTTGGGTTTGCCAGGCCCTGGTTCTGGTTGAGCTAAACTTAAACTTCTTCAGCGACAAGCAGCAAACACCACCAAGTGGCCGAGAAATTTCCTAGCGACAAGGACCTTTTTCCCCTGGTCCGATAGTTATTAATCCTGGGTTAGCAAGAATGCCCCCCAGATAAGATCCAAAATATGCCTCTTCGTCCTTGCACGTCTCTGCTGTTGCCGTGAGCGTCCGAAGTATCGCACGTCCATCGCCATGGCTCGTCCGGACGTTGGCCAAGTGGTATGAGCTCCTACTGTCAATTCCTGAGACATGTCGATCTTTCTCGCCTTTTGCTAACTTCTGGTGCTCTGACTTCGCGTTCTAGGTGGCATGGTATATCTGCACGGTCGCTGCATGTACCTTCCTCGTGTTTCGGCTGATCATCCGGTGGCGACTCCTCAAAAAGCTCTATCTCGATGACTTCTTCGTTATTGCCGCCGCGTTGTGTCTGATCGGTGACTTGGGCATTCAGCACTACATGTTCACCCAGGGTTTGTCCTTTCTTTCGCCTACTAGTGATCCGTGCGACGTCTAACCACCCGTTTCTCCCCACCCACAGGCATGTCAGAGATGGCCAAGACAACCACGGCCGAAAAGATCAACATGCAGAAGGTCAGTATGAGGATCGGGATCTGCATCCCCAAGCATCCACACCTCCGCCCGTTGCTGACTCTGTTCTCCCCCTGCCACAGTTGATCATTCCCGGGTCCACCTTGTATGTCACCTCGCTCTGGCTTATCAAGGCCAGTATGGTGCTGTTCTACAAGCGCCTGGCCGATCGCACCAAGTATCAGACCATCTATAACATCACCCTGGGTGTCCTGGCCGCTGCCTGGCTGGTGCTGTTCTTCGACATCGTCTTCAAGTGCTATCCGCCAGATCGCCAATGGAAGAGCATTGAGAATCCGGATTGTGAGTGGGAGAGTAACAGGATGCTCCAGTAGATGTTTACTGACAAGCTGCTAGTGACGTGTTCGGCGAAGCAGTCGACGATTAACTACTGGTTGACGATCCTATGTATGGGCCCTTCCGTCTCTTGTGTCTTGTTGAACTTACAGCTAACCATGCCCCTAGTCAACATCTTCAGTGATGTCTTCAGTAAGACAAGTCCCGACAACGAGCTCATTGAATAGTGAATTAACGTTACAGTCATCTGTCTTCCTATCTCTCAGGTAGCCCGTCTCAAGATGCCGAGAAAGCAAAAGCTCGGTGTAATTTCCGTCTTTCTGCTGGGTGTCATCGTCGTCATCACTAGCAGTTAGTTTTCACCACATCACATAAAGTCAAAGCCAGGCTAACGACACCAGTTATCCGTGCTATCTACTCGCACTTGGGCGAGCAGATGATCACTTGCACGGTCTCCATGATCGAAACTGCCATTGCAATCATCGCATCGTGCCTCCCTGTCCTACGCGCGCTGATCTTCGGTTCCCACTCACGCACCGGCACGTACAGCGGCCGTCGAGGATACGAGCTGTCCAACTCCGGAGCTGCGGGATTGGCCAGCAAGCAGCATACCACCGTGTCCGTATCGCGCGGGGGGCCAGACGAGCTGTCGCGGCATGACTCGGAAGATGAGCTGGTTAAGGAGAATATGTCGGCCGAAGATCCCACTGCGGGCATCTCGGTGACACGGGAGTATTTCGTACATGAGGGCGCAATGGAACGGCAGAGCATGCGGTAGATAACAAACCGGAAGCGTCAGCATCCGCTTATACTATAGGGCTTGGATTAATCGGATAAAAATAGTAATTAATATAAATTTCATTCTTCATCAGTAAACCAATGAGTATAAGATCTGCACATCTGGAAGATAGAGTTGCCGATCACAGTGGGACCAGGACCTTAGCCTAACGATGTCTTGTACGATAAACACTAGTAATGTTGATAACGGCCACCATTGTCCGCCAGGGCCCCAGGATGGCCTTCTTGAAGTCGGACCCTATTCTTTAATGGGAGAGTAAAGTACTACTAGTAGTGCTAGTAATTCATTCACAGGCTAACTTAATGGTGAAAACTAAATACGCTCACATTGCAGCGCCATATTCCCATGATAGCGCTCAGGACGGTCAAATTCATTCCTGGCTAGTTCAATTTATGAAAACCCCAAGTCTCTATTCAATGTAATAATATTATTTGGTGCAGCATCACCGTATCCTGCTTATATTTTCCTGGACAATATTCCTTATCATGGTACTACATATTACGTGAAGGTGAGCACAGCCATCATTCATGGAATATATATTTCGGCTTGCGTGACCCAAATCTGTGCCAATATAAAAAGTACTTAGTACTACTATATTTTACTACATCAGCAGTGAATGGCGCCACTACCGCGTTATGCCCACTGAAGTATATTAACTATCCTCTATACCGTTCCCTGTAATACACCATGCTCCAATTGCGCAAGCTGCAGTTCAATTTCATCATCAATTCTTTTCAGGGTCCCACGGATCGTTTACTCATACGGTTCTATCCGTCCCGAGACGGTCATGATCGTCGTTTCCTAATCGGGCATACCAGATATTACGTAGTCTCCCGTCCAAATATTTGGCAGGAAAGAACTCGCTTGTCTGACCAATCATTCGGCACTTTGCGAATAGCGAAACCCACACAGTTTCCGTTTCCGGATGGATTCATAAAACATGATTAGAGAGATATGCGTGTATTAGTAAGCACGATGAACGCCTTGTGCATACTGCGCTCATAGTACTCAAGCTATATCATCAGGATGAGTATCAATGTATTCTGTGGTTGTAGATTGCGAAGACCATTGTGATGCATGGCAATGAACTGCGGAAAATGGGTGGATTTGTCCTCATGGATATCTCCCTGGTCCGTGGTCAGGTGGTGTAGGTGGCGATCATCGTGACTGATACTGGATAGACTTCTAATAATAGAGGACCTTATGCATGTTTATAAAGAAAGTATAGTGGGTTTGCATCCTACCGCCACTAGATTTAACAATATCGGAGGAGGGGTGGTTGAGCTTATATATAGTACTTATAGCACTAGGGAGAAAAGGGTAATAATATAAGGTACAGTCCTTTCTTAACTACTGTTCCTATACTTGATATCATGGAGAATTAAAAGCACTTCTCTAAGCTGACCCTTATTTTGTAGACTCTAACTGCTTATATGTACACACTGGCGCTGACAATAAGAACTATGTAATAAATACTCGCTGGTAGATATGTTATCGGCCTGTCAGTCTTCATGCATCTTCCTCGCTGAGGTTGGAGCATGCAGAGATCTTAATTGCGCAGCCGATCCACAAAATAATGAGACGGCGATAGCTTCGTCACAAATGCTATCGGTGGTTGGGCTGTGCAATGCCATTAACAGAGCGCTACCTGTTGCACTTCCGATTGTTGCCTACTCAATCGCCCTATCGTACTCGTGCCTCACACTGGTAATTAGTATAGCTATCAGCTGTCATATAGACATAGTCTCACAATTGGCGTCCTATCTAAAGCCAAACGAAGCATGTACGAGCATGCCTCGGTCTCGGTGAATGCATCTTGATTCGTACGGTCTTCTTCTTGCTCGGGCTGAGACATTTTTAACACGCAAGTACACACTCAATGGGCGGAAGACGCCCAACGAAGGGGTATGAAGATGTCCATGATAGCAGGCGCGCATATTGCCCTGTATACCAGCTTTTCCTTGTAGCACACTGGTTTGAGCTAAAACTCTATTGCGACGAGCACATTTCCAATATCCACACCGTCATTATGCGGGTTGCCAGACTTTCCCGCAGGTAATTTGGGAGAGAGACATGCTTAGCTTAGGTAAGGCTTTTTATTCTATACTAAAGATAGCCAGTATCCTGAATATGGTTGGTACTCCACTTACGACTATAACAATGGCGTCTAGTACCTGCACTAAACTTTAAAGGATGATTGACTGGCCCCGGCTCCGAATCACCCACAGCGGCCTGCGCTATATCAACGCATCACGCCGACCTGACATACCTTTCAGCAATGTCCCGTTGGCTCATGCGACGCCCGTAGCTCGTTCTGTGTGGGCTCATTGCCCGAGTTCGAAGAGGGGTGATCACTGCTGTTATCGGAGACTCAGAATGAGGAAGACCACCATGGTTGCACTTTGAGAGCGGTAGTGTAATTTGACGGAATCTGTCGACAATCAAGATAAAGACAACCCTGAAAAGGTCATGGTCAATGCTCACACCTCTATAATTCAGACAAAAAGTGGCGGGAGAACGATATCGGATATGTGCAGCAATAATCCTCTTGTTCGATAAGCAGATTCCCGCCATTGTAGTTGGTGGAACCAGACTCAGCCAGACAATGTGAACATGGACATATTGATTCAGGCCTACAATGCAGCCTTCGCAGATGGGTTATTTCCTGTGGACAGGTGTGACTTCTACAATCGTCTAGCCTAGCCTTTTTTGATGTAGGGGTACTGCGTTATTGTTGATGAAAAAGGTATCAATATCCGTGGAGGTCACCGCTAATACCTTGCCATTGCGCGCAGAATGGAGAAAAGTCAAGGATCCTAGTCCTGGACGAGCCACGGGGTCTATTAATGCCGCAGGCGAGAATTCGGCTGAAGTAACAGTGAACCATGCAGAAACCTGCTGCTCAATGATCATGATTACCCATGAACTATTCACAGTTCTCGTGGCATTATATCATTGTGTTGCGACAAGGCATGAATACCCGCCAAAGCACCCAATAACTAGATCTTGCTCAGTTTTAGTGTAGCTGGTAAGTTGGCTCTGGCCTCTGCAATGGTCTGTCGGCTATCCTGAGATAGACACAGCAGGCCTCTCGCTCCAAAGTTGGCTCGTCGCAAAGCTGGTCAAGTTGTTCCATTGTTGTAGTTCGAGGTTGTTTGACGCGCCCAACTTTAGTCTTGGATGTTCCTCACTCTAGCCTTTGCCCTGGTGGGCTGCTGTAGCCTGATAAGGATGGCGTCGAACTAAATGTACTTCATAGGAATAAGGTTAGCCTGCGAGAGGCACTTTCGAGGAGAGGAGAACCGATTGTCATCAGTTCGTGGCGTCGACTTACCGGCAGGATTACTTCCCTCAGTTGTTGTGAAAGCTCCTATCATACTTAGAAATGCAAAGTTTTCGTCCGGAACCCTGGTCTCCTTTTCTTCTGTAGAACCAAGCAGTTCCATGGATTACTTAGACCAACCAGCGTCTTCTCGCTCATTTCCATACTCAGTAACGCTGACTGCATGAAACTCCATCCGCTTTCGGCTGAAGGTTGGAAGCCATCATCTTCTTGACCGTGGTGGGTTTTCTCCTGCTCGCAAACTTCGAAAAGATCCGCTACGAAATCTTGTATGACCGGAGGAACGCGGAGGCTTTTGCAAGTAGCTTCGAAATGATATCAGGGTCGATAAAGAGCCCGGAAAGATGACAGTCCTGATAATGAAAAACGCGATTCTCCGATGTTCCGCACTTCTGAAGGAGCAGCAGCAGAAGGAGTTCGTAAGGCGTGGGTCGGCATCCCAGTGTTTCCGTATTTGGCTAACGTGGCACTGTGTACCATAGCGCTGAAGTCCTCCGTCCCGCGCAGTTTTGCTTAGGAGATGAAAACGCCGATCGCATCGGTGGCGCTACGTACGGGGGTGAAATCATGACGTTGGGAAAACCCGACACCGTCACCTTCGCTGAGTATATTGCGATACTCCAGGCGGGACATTCTTATGGGCCAATCTTCAGCTCTTCAGCTTCGGCCCAAACATCGCTCAGGCCAAGGTTTCGGAAAACTTGACATCCGAAGAGAGGAATAAACCAGGTGCGATGACAAAGAAGAAAGGAACTGAAAATTTAGCATCTGCCGATCGCGGCTTGACGGCAGATCTGGTGTTTCAGGGCGTTGCCTTCGAGCATTTTGGCTCCATGACGCCACCTCTGTCCACTCGAACCTGACAATTGCAAGTGGGTCGTTTATAGCCTCTGCGGATGCGTCCCGCGGCGGCAAGTCCACAATTATTTCGTTGCTGGAACCATTCGACGAGTCAATCTCGGGGACCATCCTCTTAGGGTGACGCAAAAACGCCGTATCAAGTTGGCATATAACCGTCGAGTTCCGCCTTTAGTCACCCAAGGCCCCAAATATTTGCTGGGACCATCGGACATAGCTCCCTGCCTGGCCTAGAACATTAAACACATTCAGCGTGACTCTAATCATGAAATGACGCAGGTGTGTGAAGACACGAATCTCTTCAATCCAGCACATGGCTGTCAGCTGGCTATCCGACTGTGCTGGGGACTGTTACGCATACTGCATTTGTCGGCAGCCATAAGCGGCAATCAGAAGCAGCTTGAACTGTGGATCGGTGTAACGTGCGTGTCTTGCTACGCAAACTTCACTGCTGATTTTGGATGCAACCGCCTCAGGTCTACACACTCACAGCTGAAAAAGTTGGCCAGGGAGCCAGGGAGCATCTGGCCTCCAATCGTGATTTGCCAGTGATCGTTGGGGCAACCCGATGAGCGACAACCCAAAAGAAAGTCATGATCTTCTGTCTCGGCGAGAGCTGTGCTAGCCGGGGTTCTCATGTTCTTGAGAAGGGATATCGTCATGACTTGCTGCACAAAAAGGGTATCTACTGGCTGATGGTAAGAGTAGCCTTTTCAACAGTTATTGCGATACAACAGGTGGAAACCGGTTCACTAGATGGCTGGTAATTGGCAGTGTCTAGAGCAACTTAGCAATCGAATCAGTAGTAATATAACCATAGCCTGTAGTCATAAGTAGGTAGTTAGTAGTGTTTGGAACCGAATTAGGCGGACAAGGTGACTAGTGAACATATCAGATAAGAAGAGCTCCTGATGGATATAAAGAATGGGTCAGCTAAAATGAGATGGGTAGTACGAATCTTCATCACCATGATAGATTAGTCCGAATTACGTATGGAAGCTGATTTATGCCTGAAAGCCACTCATGGATGTATGAAACACTGATATAACCGGATTGGATGGAGGAAGTGGGCGAATTAGAAAGGCGGTAACCGCGAGTTTCCTGCCGCTGCCTGTGAGTAACACTTGCGGTAGGCGGTACGCAGTTCTCTCTCTCCCTTTCTCCCCAAGTTCCTCCATCCGTCTATACTTCCTTTCTGGGTTCATAGTCAAAGGCCTATATAGTGTCGAAGTACCTTCCAGTTTCGGTCCCTGCCTAATATAAAGCGTCCAAGCATCCAAGCCTTGAGCGTCTTTCAAGGTTTCGGCACGTAAGGCCGCTCCATCATTGCCGGGGAGGGGATGGGGAGCCCATCCCATTGGCGCATAGCCTGGTGGACCGGCGCAACATATTACCAAGTTAGGAATAGGAATCAGTCCAGGCCGCATCGAGTGCAACGACCGCGAGGATCGTCTCAGATGGGACACTTCGAGAAGAACACGGAGATCTGCCCTCTTTTGCGCCCCAGGCTACCATGGGATTGGCCCTGCTATGGTAAAGTTCAACTATGATACGTGGAATTTTTTTTATTTAGCCTAGAGAGTATTCACACACGGTGGGATTGTGCCTGTGCCTCGGACGAACATTATGTGACGGAATTTCGGGGTAGACGTTAGTGAGACACGACACGATGCTGGAGGACTGGTCTCCTATGACAAATTCCTTGACCATGAGGACAAAAACAAATCAGCCACTACGAATTCTTGGATTTTTGGACTTTATGTCTTAACAATCTCCTGTACGGCTTGGGTCCCTCTATCGGCCGACATCCGTTCTAGACCATTTGGCTGTTGGAGTCCCATCGTTGTTCGGTATAAGTGGGCCATAAACCTTATTGTGCTTCTCAAACTCCAATGAAATCGTCCGCTTGTCTCCAACGGTTCCTGTGTGGGCTCCGGATACCTCATCCAGCTGTCACCACACAGATAACTCGACCCGAAGCTTTTAAGACAGGGTTGCCCTGCATGACCCTAAACCTTGGTTTATGACTCCGTCAGGCAGCTTGCTTCTATTTCTGTCTCACGGAAAGCTTACAAGAAACAGCTCGCAGTCCCCTAGTGGGCGCGTGAAATGCGAATTGTGTCAAGGTACTGCGACTCGGCATCATTATACAACTCTCTTCCTGACCACGATTTCATGACGAGTATTGAGCCACTGCGAAGCTGTGACACATTCTTCATTCACACATAAGGACATGATGGAGAAACTGTAGGACGAGTCTGTAACATGGCCATGGACGCTACCGGCGTACACGGATCTGGCTAATCGAAATTTTAGTTCTGGATGGATTGGCAATATGACTTCCATAAAGAAACAATGCAGATGGTGGAGTAGGTTACCCGGAGAGAGAAGCGGTTGTGGGTTTGGTGTTGGTAAGATGTTAGTCACATCTGAGTGAAGGCACGAAACACGGGGCGTTTCCCTTCCTTGCACCTTCATTGCTTTGATCTAGTTTCAGACTGGTGGATCGTCCTGATCGTATCGTGCAGTCCTCTACCGCCGCCGTTTCAGCGCGGAACCACTCCGAGCTATTATAATTCATAGCCCAGGGTCCAAGAGGTTGATTCTGCACCATACTATCGGTATCGCCCATGTGTGATTCGTCGTCACCATCACGGCCTACGCCCAAGTACCACCATAGTGGCCCAAGTGACCTATGTGATAAACTCTGATCTGCGCCGCTACGAATGAACTGAGTGCCCACCATAGCTTTTTCCCTGAAAGAGAGCTCCCCCGACATCTGGGCGTTCCTATAAGATGATGGGAGGAGCTAGATGCTTGGACATTAGTCGACAAGGACATCAGTCGACAACCAGTTCTCCTTCTGCCCGGTGCCATCTGACCGGCCACCACCCGCGAAAATGCAACTGGAAGGACGTAGTGAGGTTCTTGTGGCTGTGTCTGTAGTGGTCATGGCTATATCGCTTCTGACAGTATCCTTTCGATGCTTCGTGCGATGGAGGATGCTCAAAGCATTTGGATGGGACGATACATTGATGGTTCTTGCAATGGTGAGAAACCCACCCGAGTTTTCCGTTTTCCCCGATCCAATCAGAATTGGTTGGTATCTAAGCCAAAGCTCTGGATGATGAATCGTTAACATGTCTCCAGGTTCTTGATATAGTGCTTACCGCGTGCGCAATCGCTGGTGCGAAGGATGGCGTTGGCCGGCATCTGAGTAATTTCCACAGCTTCGATGAATTTCACCATGCCATGTTAGTACGTGAAATAGATTCATTATTCACCCAAATATACTGTTGAGATACTGAATGGCCTGTCTAGTGGTGGTGGCTGGGCCAGTGCATCTATATCTGGGCGTCCGGCATCGCTAAAGTATCCATTGCGCTGGCGCTCCTTCGACTGTCGGTTCACACGTATCAGCGTATAACCCTGTGGATCGTTATGGGAGCATCGATTTGTATCAGCTTGGTGTTCTGGTTCTTTATGCTTTTTCAGTGCCATCCTGTCTCAAAATTTTGGGAGCGGACAGGACCGGGCAATTGCATGAGCACCGATACGCTGATTAGGGTGGCGTACGTTTACAGTGGAATCTGCGCAGTCTGTGACTTTGCGCTGGGACTTCTGCCCATTGATCTCGTTCGCCAGCTGCAAACCACTCTCACGACGAAGATCGCGCTGGGCGCGACCCTGAGTCTAGGTTGTGTGTACGTAAATCCACCGATGCTGTTGGTACAGCGGCTAACATTTGGCGTGTCCAGGGCAAGTACAGCAGTTATTCTTCGGATACCTTGCCTGCATTACTACAAGGACATCGATTTCTTGTGTAAGTGCCATGCTTTGTGAGCCCCTCGAATCCTCTATACCTACTTCGATAGTCTGTTTCTTGTTGCTCCTTTCAAGTCAATGATGGCCAAGACAGCTAACCCTTCTCAATCTATGTGTGGCAGATTCGACCTATTCCATCGACATCTGGTCCTTTATCGAGGTTGGATTGGGAATCACGGCAGGTAGTCTGGTCACTCTCCGTCCTCTCTTTCGTGCAGTTCTTGGTGACCCACCTGACCACAAGGGGAAGAAAAGCCGCGGAAGCATGCCACTGACCAGCTTCACGGAGTACACGCGGACTCGGCCTGACCCTGAAGATGATGCAGTGTGGCAATCGCCCCAGCCTGACGCGACGCGGAACATAACCACCACAGTGGTTTCAGCTTTCCGGGCGGGTCTGAATAGTCCCCTCACGCCAACCTTTGCGGCCGAGTTGAAGAAGGGTCGGTCCGTTCGGATCAAAAGGTCATTCCATGTCACAGAAGAACATGTGGGCTACTGAACGGGAAGAAGTTTGCCCTTTATACAGTATATAATGACACTAAAATGATCTTGTGAAAATCATTATCTGAGCGGCTGTCAAGCGTAGAGCGAAAAGGGAAGCGAGGGAAAAGGGAACATAAGAGAGAGAGAGAGAGAGAGAGAGCTGGAGCTGGAGGCTGACGGCTGACCGGCTGGCCTTGTTTGCATAGGCTCGATCGGCACCTGACCCTGTTTGCCTTCTCTGTTTGCCTTCTCCAGTGGTAAGTAAGTACTACCTAACTAGTAAGTTAGTCCTCCTATACTACTAATAGTAATACTGGCCTTCTCTCGCCAAGCTTCATCTTTTCAGCTAATATTCGTCTAAGCAACACAATCCAATCTACTAAGTATATCCTCTCAAACTAGCCCCCTCCACACCTCCGAGTGGCTGATTTACTACAAAACAGTTCACTTCAGGCGAGCTTCCACCACCACCATGGGCACTCCGGGTGCCTTGTATACGTTGGCCAGTTGGAGCCCCGCTAGATCGAAGAGGTGCGCAAAATCCTTCACCGTCCGCTCTCTTCCACCAAAGGTCATCATGGTCAAGTCCATATACGCATTAGTTGCGGTCGCGCCCACTTCAGGGATGATCGTCTCCGTGATGAGAATTCGCGACCGCTCCCGATCCATCGCGACCGCCAGATGTGCGAGGACCTGACGAACCTCCTCATCGGGCCAGTCATGCAGCACGCGACGCACAAAGTACACGAGGGCACCTGATACATATGATCAATGTGTTAAGTTAGACTGATAGATGGGGCTTTGGAAATAGTGGGGACTGCTTACCCTGCACAGGTTGGGGGTTGAAGAAATCATGCGCCATCGGCTCGATTCCGTGGGCCTCCATCTCCGGACCATTGTCAGTGATGACACTCTCGCGATCCTGCAGGATATACCGCCCGGGGACTCCTGCCAAGCTCTCTTTGAGTTGACGCAGAATATGTCCGCGACCCCCGCCAACATCCACGATGGTGGCGGTGTCTGGCTGTGCAAGTGGCTCCAGCGTAGATTTGAAGGGATACAAACCAATCTCCGCCAGGAGAGAATCCTCCGCTACCATGGCATCATTCAGCCGAGCTGCGCGGGCGGGGCTCTGTGAAATGTACTCAAACATGGTCTGTCCGTCGCAGCCATGCACGAAAGTGAAGGGGTTGCGGCGCAGTTCGATGCGATGCTGCCAGCCCTGCTGCGCAAAATATTCATGGCCCCGCAATGTCGCGGGGGAGTACTCATCGACCCTGGCCAGCAGGTGGCTTTGGTTAGCCATCGGACATGTGTGCAGACCTGGAAGGAGAGGCCGCCGCACTTACATTAGACTGAAAACCGCCCGCATTTGGGGTGCCAGTAGGATCTCCGACTCGGCGGTGTGGGCATACAATTCCTCCCCCGCCTCGCGAAAGGGTCCCAATGGAGTCAGGGCGCGCATATGGCGCACTGGAATCGGGTCAGTTTAGTTGGGCAACGACAGGGAACCACCGGGCAGCGCCGACCAGGGGCATCCAGGAACTCAGGGATGGCCTACCGATAAGTTCTTTGTCCACCCCGGTTGTGGAGGCGATTTCCGAGGCCGAAATGCTCTGTCCTCCGGTCGGGATGGCATCCAACACCCCGGCTTCCAACAGGGTCCGGATTGCGCCAATTCGAACCACCTAGCATAGCGTGCCATAGCGTATCGTTAGCCTACATGGTGTATTCCAGATTGACCGATGATGGCTGGGGTAACCTGGAGCGTACATGTTCAAAGTTGGCAAAGACGAGGTCGGCCGGGCCCCGAACAACATTGACCAAGCGAGTGGCCCTCACCATCAACTGGTAGCGAGCATCCTGACTATTCGGAGTGGTCGCTTGACTGCGATACTGGTCGACCGCGGCCGTGACCTCGGCCAGACACTGCTGAATCTGCTCAAGATTGGGATCAAACTGCGCCATTGGTAAGAAGTATAGACAAGGGTATGTAACCGGGGTCCCTGGTAGTAAGTATGGAACCACTCCGTTGGGAATGACCAGGGCGACCTACCTATTATACTTGTCACACTTGGCTCCAGCATCAGGGGGGAGATTGGGATCTTGCCAGGTTGATTGGCGGGAAGCGAGTGGATAGGCAACGCGACCTGCAGCGATAGCGCCAGACGGCGTCCAGGCAGCGCACGGTGCGCCACAAGCCGATACGTCCAGCTTCCTCAGCCAAGTCGGGGAAACAGCCGACAGGAATACGAGGTGATCCTCCAATAGGTACGACAAAATCCGGATTCAAAGGTAGAGACGAAGGATCATAGTTGGTGGACGGGCCTCTGTACTTTTGCATGGACCAGGCCAGGGCCTGTGCTCGCCTCACATACATTCCGTTCGACCACTGTTCTCCCCCATCATAGACTATAATCCAAACCCACTCAACTCACTTCCTCCGCCGATCATCCGTTCACCCCCTCCCCATTCCCACCTCAGCTCAATTTCCCCTCCTTGTCCGGCTCCACCATGTTATGTACGACCGTCGAACCAGTCAGCCTGGCTTTGTGATATCTCCCGGCAGGTTCTTGGGGCAACCCCAGGGTCTTCGAACCTGTCATGTTCTGCCCAGATTTCCATCAACCCCTGCATCTGACAGATGCAACCGATGCCGCATCCGGGATCTCTGACAATGCCCCTGACAGGATAATCGGACCACTGTATCCCAGACTAGTCTCGTTGTCACACGATCCAGGTACACAGGAAGCTTTCTCCCATATCCTTTCCAGCCAGACTAGGAAATTTGATGGCCAGTGGCGTCTCCTCAATGGGATAGTGACGGCAATTTTCTGTTCCCCGGAGATCGCAAACTATACGATGCAGGTGAGAATGGTCTCTCGGTAGTCGCTCCGGCCTGCATACGAACGAGTCCATTCCTCCGCGCTCGAGCCAGGGCAAGTTGGAGAGCACCATGAACAAGAAGGATAAGTAGCGAAGCGACGGCCAGCGTCCTTTGCAACCTTCGCTCTTGAAACAGGACCAGCTCTCTCACGGACGCGCAAAGACAAGCCTCTTCCACCATGCCTTCGGTCGACCTCAACCAGATCCCCGCCTCCCCGCCTCCCGATGGCGTGACGCCCAACTTTGTGAACCCACCGAACCAGAACTATCAGATCTACTCTATCAATATTGCCCTCTGCCTTACAGGCACCGCCGTCTTGATCCTCCGCTTGTACACCCGTGGTAAGCTCCAGAAGACCATCGGAGTTGATGATTGTGAGTGCCCATCCCGAGCATATTATGAGGACATCCTACTGATGGGCTCGCAGGGTTCTGTATCTGGGCACAAGTGTGCGCGTGGTTGTTTGCCATCTTGTGCATGCTCAGTACGTATCAAGGCTAAGATGTACGGTAATGGCGTTACTAATATGCGCAGACATCAGGAACGGATATGGGGTTCACATTTGGGACTTATACCTCAGTAAGATCAAGCCTTTCAAGCAGGTACGTTTCGCAGGTACGTCCCATACATAGCGGGCCACCACTGATATTTGCAGTATGATCTTGCGGCAGAGGACATCTTCGTTGTCGGGATCTGGCTGGTCAAAACGTCCATCTTGTTGTTCTACCTGCGCTTGAGTCCCGAAAAGCGGTTCCGGCAAATGACATACGGCATCATGGTCTTCGTTGCCTTGTACAATATCATCAGTTTGCTGGTCTTTACCCTCGGCTGTATACCGGTGCAGGCTAGTTGGGATGTGACCCTAATGCCGACAGCCAAATGTGTTGACCAACTCTCCTTTGTCTACGCCAATGCGGCTTTCAACCTGTTCTCCGATCTTATCACCTTGGCACTACCCATTCGACTCTGCTGGTCTCTTCAGACTACTCTCAAACAGCGGGTGCTATTGATGGTAGTGCTGATGATGGGTTCCTTGTAAGTGTCTGACGTATGGTCATCACTCTCCCTAGTTAATCTAATATGGTGATTTCGTAAACAGCGCGTGTGTGATTGCAATCGTCCGGATTGTGACCATGATGCCATTTGTCACTAGTATGGATCTTACCTGGTACAAGGTGACTTTAGCCAAGTGGGCGTAAGTATTCGTACCTTTTCGACCCTTATTTGGGCACTCAGCTGACACGTAAACACAGCATGGTGGAGATCAACGTGGGTATCATCTGTTCGTGCCTGCCGGTGATGCGGCCTCTACTCATCCGGTTTTTCCCCACTGTTTTTGGCAGCCACGCCAGCAGTGGAGTCAGGCCCATCCGCCCTGCCGATGCCAAGGATACTTTCGGTGCGGCGCGCAAGAAGGTTATTCGCAACTGGGACTACCTCAGTACGATCAAAGGAACCAACGCGGTTGAGACTACCCAGGATGTTGAGAGTCTTCACGAGGAGACTAAGCAAGAGAATGGCAATTCCGAGCCGGCTATCATGATGGCGACCGAGTATTCGGTGACCTGCAAGCGGCGGTCGGAATAAATGATCAATTACAATGGCTTTTCGTCTTGAAACTGTTGAAGTAGTTGTGAGGTGAAGGCGTCAATAATGTGTTCCGGGTTGCAGAGACCCGTATTGGGAAAACATGTTTGAACGGGGATCTTATCATGGGGGGGGGCTGTATCTGCTATCTACTGTAATAATGTTAAGGGCCAAACCCGGCTCGCTACTATATACACTCTAATAATCAAACATCAGTATTTAAATACTTATTTGTAAAGAACGGCCGTCTGTGACACTGAATTGACTGGAACAGGAGAATTGCTACAGGGGGTGTTCAGTGGCTGTTGGAACACACCGCTCTCACGGCCAACAGAAACATCAGCAGGCCAAGAACGATGGCAAGAGGCAAAAGAAAAGTAGGATTCTGTAGAGGTGTTGGAAGCTTACTGATAGGTAATGATATGAATGAAGTAATCATGGATTACAAGAATGCGAGATTATGGTAGGTCCTACCCATAAGTTTCCTGAACGTGTTTGTGGCACCAGAAACCAGTGAATAAACATTGGTCTACATCTTCCGCGTCTGATCGTATCGGGGATTGAAAAGTGTAAAGTTTATCGTCAATTCCAAGCGAAGTCGCAACCGAACAACTGGAAGCTACTAATGATATTCAAACAATATATATCTTCAGACGCCACAGGAAATCAATATATCTTACTTACTTCACGGCAGAATCCGGAGTGAAATCGAATCACTGAAAAGGGTTGAGAGATTCTTTGACTATCAGGGCGCCGGTTAATCTGAACGATCATTTCCGAAACACATTCCTCGGACAAGAGGAGCCTAAATACCCAGAGCTTGCAGCAATTTAGTCATGAATGCAAGGGCATGGCTCACAATATATTTCCCGAAAGATACTACGTTCTTGAGAAGTTTATTCAGTGGGCACATGTATGCAGAGATCTCTGTAGTCTTTTGAAAGGGCAAAGGGACGTAGGTTCGATGACCAAGAGGAAGAAAAAGCCTGGCCAAGTCCTATCAAATGCATTTAGTTGAAACGAAGGACTGTGATTTACAACTTATGTAAAATTCATGGAATATGCTTTATCTAGAATGGCGAATGGCGACGCCGATAAGGGTCTGCGGTGTCAGTAAATGTATCCGACTGCTGATCCTCAAATGTCAGCCTGCTACCGCAAATCTGACAGATATTAGGTAGAAACCCAGGACGACGCGGACAAAGTGGAAGCCTGGCAAAATCTGTTCGATAAAAATATTTACGATTCTTCCTGCCTTTGTTCTAGTGAGCTTGGGAGGGACTTCGTCGGGTGGAAGTCAATGTATACCGGTGCCTTGATTGATAATGCCGAAATGGGTGAATGGCTAGATGGCACTATTGACGCACTTCTTGGTGGAGGCCCACCGGGCCATGTCTTTGAGGTCGGAACAGGCACCGGCATGATCCTGTTCAATATCACGGCGGGGCTAGAGAGCTACACTGCGCTTGAGCCATCAGGCACGGCAGTTGATTTTGTCCGGGCGGCAGTCACAACTATTCCTGATTTGCAAGGCAAGGTCCGGTTGGAGAAGGAAACAGCTGACAATATCAGCAATCTTGACGGGTCTAACTCCGTGGATGTGGCCGTTATCAACTCTGTGGCGCAGTATTTCCCTTCCCCTGAATATTTGCTCAAGGTTGTGGAGGACATCGTGTGCCTGCAAGGCGCCAAACGCATCTTCCTTGGTGATATACGATCGTATGCACTGTACGAAGAATTTCAAGTCAGCAAGACTCTCGCCGGTGATAGGCAGAAGTTACTCACCCTAGATGGTTTCCGATCACAGATGGCGGAAACCGTCCACATGGGAGAGGAGCTGTTAGTAGACCCGGCCTTTTTCACGTCCTTACCAGACCGGTTCCCGCAGCTTATTGAGCATGTGGAAATCCTTCTCAAGCGTCATGGTAGCCACCAACGAGCTCAGTTGTTACCGCTATGCTGCGGTCTTGCACACGAAGAACCGACAAGCTCAGCCGCGGCACATCCATGACGTGGAGGAGGGTCAATGGGTTGACTTTTCAGTGAGGAGAATGACCCACGCGTCCCTTTTGGAATATCTGCAGCAGCCAACTATTGATGCGTCTGTGGTGGCAATAGGCAATATTCCTTATAAAAAGACTATCCTGGATCGACTCATTGTAGACCAGTTGAAGGGTCGATTGGTCGACAGGGTTGGTGGACCTGGCTGGCTTGAGTCACTCGATGAAACCGCCAGACATATTCCGTCTCTCGCGCCAGTCGATCTAATCAAGCTAGCCGAGCTGTCTGGCTACCAAGTGGAAATCAGCTGGGCCCGACAACAAACTCAACGTGGCGGACTGGATGCCATTTTCCACCACATTCGGCCGGATCGCAGGGGGTCAAGGGTGCTATTCCGCTTCCCAACTGACCATGATGAACGACCCCTTCGCCAATTGAGCAACAACCCGCTACAACAAGCGTCTAATCGAGATATCGAAAAGTGGGTACGGGAGGCCTTGCATAAGAAATTACCGCCGTATATGGTTCCGAGAATAGTCAGAGTATTGGAGCAAATCTCTGTCAACAGCAATGGGAAGGTGGACCGCAGGGCTCTAGCAAATAAGATTACTGTCGCTGCATTTCATAACACTGTGAATGCTAGAGTAGACCCTCATGATGATGTGGAACGAGTATTGCTTGCCGCATTCACAAAGATGCTGGGCAGAAACATCGGCATTTCTGAGAGCTTTTTTGACCATGAAGGGCACTCTCTGAATGCGATGAGGTTGATCAGTGGAATTAATCAGAACTCCATTCTCGCCTGGCGATCGGCGATATTTTCGAGTGTCCGACCGTTGCCGGCCTGGCGGCAAGGATCAGATCATGGGCGGATTCGCTGCATGAAGCTGTCACCTCTCTCAGCTTCTCACCGTTTCCCCTTGTTGGAGGTAGTCTCTCGCCTATTGCATCACACGAGCTCGCAAAGCTCGGACTGGATCCTACTGAAGTGACTGACATACTTCCTGTGACACATATGCAGGCCTTCTTGCTTAGTCGGTGGACCCGAGTTTTCATGCACTTCGATATCCATGGTAGGATCGATGTGATTCAGTTAAGAACCGCTTGTCTTGTGGTGATGCAAAAGCACAGTATCCTACGCACTGTCTTTACCAGACTTGAGGGACAATCAGTCCAAGTTGTCTTGAGGGAACCCAACGTTCCGTTTACCTACGGCTCGCTCAGCAGTGAATTTCATGATGAGGTTGTTCCTGAGACTACGCCTGTCCCCACCAAGCTGCCTGCAGAGTACGAACTTGTTTCCCGGTCACAGACTGACCATTCAATTATTGTACGCTTGCTTCATGCTCAATGCGATGGGGCTTCGCTGTCTCTCTTGTTCGCCGGTCTGGAGACAGCCTACAGTGGTCAGCTGCTCTCGCCGACCATAGCAGTCCCCTTTGCAGACTACGTATATGGCTGTGCACAGCTTCGCTCGGCAGAATCGCCCAGGTTCTGGAAGGACTTTATATGGGGAGCTTCTCTTACCACTCTACCGAATCCAACGCTTGCAGAGGACAACGCTGCAGATGTAACAACAATCGTGGCTGGTGAACTTCCCACGCCGCCGCCTGGGATCACCCTTGCGATGCTTGTCAAGGCATTCGCTTTTACCCTGGCGGAGATGGCCACTACCGAAGATGTAACATTCCTGCTGGGGCTAAACACCCGTGGCATACCCATCAAAGGAGTGGAAGCGATTGTTGGACCATGTATTAACCGCTGTCCCATTCGAGTGCAACTGCGGCAGACTTGGACAGTTAGTAATCTTTGCCAGAGTGTATATGACAATTATGTTGCCATTTCCCGACACTGCCATCTTGAACTTCCCGACATCATCGATAACTGTACTTACTGGCCGAGTGGTAGTGACTTTTCCTGCGGATTGAATCATGTATCTACAAGCGGTTGCTTCTCCTTCTCATTAAAGCACACACAGACATTGCACTCTTCAATTGATGCACAGGTCAATATGGCCAACCGGCTGTATGTCCGCTCATTTGCTGGCGATCGAACCTGGAGAATACAGGTACTGGCTTCGAGCAACGTGATGAACAATGAGAGGGCTTCCCTGTTCGCTTCGATGCTTTTGAGAACCGGACAAAGATTCTCGCAGTATCCGGAAGCACCTTTATCTTCTCCTCTTCTACGCTAAGCGGATTTGAGGCTTTCGACAAAGCTGTATGGTGGGCAGTGAATGTTATGTCGGTTTTAGGGATCGAAGTCTCTGGATGTCAATGCAAAATATATTCATCGAGCTATAATTCCAACTTAATGACCAATGTCGACGAGGTTCTTCGCGGCCATGGCACGTTATAATCTGATGCGTACAAAGTAACAAGTAAAACAAAGTCTACTATAGATAGTATTTTGATGTCGTCGTGTTATCCCGAACGCCCCGAAGGATATATACGGACAGGGGGATTTCTCGAACTGATGAGGTACCAGTCGCACCATGATCCCTGCTAATTATACTTGCTCCATCTTTCTTTCATCTCAAGCCGTAGAACTTAAGTTGTGCGAGACGTTGATGAGCACATAATCCATACAATCCATGTCGCCAGACCCACAAGTGTCCGGGATGGAAGAGGAGATACATATAAAATTCATCGCATTGTAGCAGCCAACCGAGCTTGCCGAAATCCTGAAGCGTCTACTGCACACATAAAGCAATTGCATTAGAGCATGGTTGTATATTATTCGTATAGTTAGTAGATATTAGGTACACAATTCGCGACCGTAACATGTCATAAGAATCCCATCATCATCATCTTGCCGTACAGACACAAGATTATTATTTTCCCGAGACTGCCTGGGAAAGCGGCCATTCCTCCCTCTATACATTATTCCAGCATTCATTGTCCACCGTCCACTCAGATTGCATCGACATTATCGTAGAAATTATCATGAAATCATGCCCCTAGTTGCACATCAACTTGTAGCTGACGTATTCGGCGTCGCCTTGGAGGCATTGTCCCAGGGTGACATTGCGCTGGCCGGCGGAGCAGTTGTCTTCGGTAAAGATTTGCACTGTATACAGAATTAGCAGGGAACGTGAAAATATATACTTCTAGCAAAGGAGAAAAGCTTACCACCACAGCCGGCGACATTGTATTCGAAGCTGACAGACTCGATGGTTTGGTTGCCAGGGAAGGTTTTGCATTGGTTGAGAGCCGATCGGTAAATGCCTAGTTCGCCCATGTTTTCATCGTAGCAGCCAGGTTCGCCGAATAGGCGAAGTTGAGCGAGACGAGTGTCGCCAGTGGGGAGGGCCAGGGTTGAGATGACCATTGCCATCAGAGCGGAGAGGAGCAGAGTGAATTGCATTTTGGCTGTTGAGATAGGGTTGGAGATGAAGAGTATTTCTCGATGTAGTAGGGTGGTAAGAGTCGTAAGTATTATAAGCTTATATGGATATTAGGTCTAGAAGAGTGAGGTCGTTGTCAATAGAGAAGAAAGTAGCAGGTACATGGCCTTCTTTTATAGACAACTGACTGTCAGTCAGCGTGAATTGGTCCCAGTTATCGGTCTCCCCGCAACAACAACCACCGACTACTAGTTCTAGCCTAGACTTTCGTCAATTGGGGATTTCGCGCATCCGCGGGGGCAAAGATCGGCACCTTGCCTCGACGATCCCTGCCATTTAAGACAAAAAGTGATGCCGTCTGTCAGCCGAGTTGGACCCTCTCATGATGCCATTGCAACCTTAATAGCGGCGAATCCTCTCACCGTCTTTCCAAGCTCTGCCTTTTTCTCTTCTGCCCTTGGGGTTCCTTGAAAATTCCTTCACTAGAATAATTATATCCGCTATTCAATTCATTCACTCTTCTTCTTCTTGCCTCAGTTCCCGCCGTTGAGTGAGAGTCCACTGCCGGCCCAGGTTACAATCAATCTATCGAAGGCGGGGGCTGGGCGCCGCTGAGGCTGGGAGCTTTGGGGGCTGAAGGGGGGGCTGGGTAGAGAGACGGCTCACTGCATGCATGTCTCGGATGCGCCACGTCCATCATTTGGGGTTTTCCAGGCCGGGTGGGGATGGCGATCATGGAGCCACAGTGGGATAGAGTGGCCCTGGTGAATCCTGTTCATCCTTCGCGGCAGGTGGACGAGCCGGATCACCGGATCAGATCGGATAATCGAGGGCAGGGCAATTTATCGGCAATCAAAGCCTCCTGGCTTCTTTATTGGGAACACGAAAGAAGTTGTTGTTATGGATATTGCCCGGATGCGACCGCAGTGAAGGGTTGGAGAGGCAGTCCGACTGATGTTTCTATTCCAAGCAGCAGTCAGTCGGGATGTGCTGGCTGGTGCAGCTGAACACCGCATCACCATCTGTCACCATTCATTGCCGATGCACTCAGCAACCTGTCAATGCCCAGTGGGATGCACTGTGCTAAGAATAGCTGGAATGCAGGATATTGATAAGAATAGAACAGTGCGGGAGGGCTGAGGGGCACGATGCAGGCGAAGATTATCACTTGGGTGATGATGTGGATAATGGACCCTCACAATGCCAGATAAATCACACCAAGCAGTCGGCAGTGCAACCTCAACAACATGATTCTCAATCTATCCCATCACATCACGTCGCAGATATTCGGTAGAAGATGGGGATGGACACGGAGCAAACCGCGTCACACCGACAACGCCAAGGCAGTGGCCGGTTCACAATCGCCACACTGTGCCAGGACAACCATGTCGCCTCGGAATGACCTGGATGAAAATCCCTCCCAGCCAGCTTCATTTATCGAAAAGGATTGTGCAATGTTCTCCCAAGGATCCAGAGATCGGTCGGTCGATGGACTAGCGGAGGAGAGGCAATATTCACAAACCTCGTCAACCACCCTTCCAACATCACAGACTCGCAATGGACGGAGACCGGATCGGCTGGAAGAAAGAGGACTTGGATACAGAAAACACATCCTACTGCCAGCTAACACTTATAGAAGACTTTGACAAGTTCGGAGCTGCATGCAAAGAACTTCGGGCGGTATACAGGGAAGATCCCGCAGCGTCGGACTCGCAGACGGTTTAAAGAGTATAAAAGTCGCCGAGCAACCCGCCTTATCTTCCGTGGAATGTAGATGTCGTCCGATCGCATACTATCTGCAGCGGGACGAGCCCGCTCTCCATCCCGATCATGAAGAAGGGGAGAGAAGTCATGAAGATGCCAGTTCGCCTGGGGCATCGGCGTGACTCCGTATGTCCGATCAATTGCTCCGCGAGATGATCATTCTTCCGTCGACCTCCGATCGGACCCCAAAACACAATGACACCTAATTGATTTATCCCTTGAGGCAATTCTAGAATTTGGAAGGGATGCTCTAGACCTTCTGCCTCATCGCGCAGGGCTCCGACGCGGCCCGCGGGTCGGCAAGGATGCATTAATCGTGTCAATAATAATCGCTTGCCTCGCCGGGCAACCCGCCCAGGAGTTCTGCGCCTTCTACTGCCTTCTGCCGCGGCTGGTGGGCTCCACCGCACATTCTTGGATTCGGGGTTATCCCCAACAACTGGACGCGGATCCACTCCGCCCAAACAAACGATTGGAATTTCCCTACCATGTATTTAGTGAGTATCATATGAATTTTGACATGGTCGGCTATATTTTACATAGAATGCCTCGGCTGGATTCTCAGGACAGAAACTTCCGATTGAACATGGTAATACTTGAACATGGGATGTCTTAGCATTATCGGAGACCCATGACTATGGTAGATTCAGTTTCAGTAGGTCTTTAGTCGTCTGTCCCACAAAAAGGCTTCAATTCTGACTTCCACTACTAGTAGTAGTCTGCTACTTACGAGCATGAAGTTATAAACGCTACTTAGTGTTCGTGGGTCCTACAAGGTGACCATGTTCATGAAATTATACTGCCAATTGTCACTTACTGCCACTAGTTCTACGAGAACTATCACTTCCATGCTACTCTGAGTACTACCAGAAGTCCAATCTTCAGTGTGTTCACCTAGTACTAGTAATTCCGCATAGTGTAGCTTGGTGTGGATATATATATTAACTGCCAAATGGCGTGTTTGATGATCAAAAGGCACTATCTCTAATGTTCCCCAAGTAGTATCAGATGTACGACCCTAATAACAAACTCAAACTTGACGCTATAACACACAGACAGTTACAGTCCCTTTGAGTTGAACATGACCACACATATGCACGCATGTACATAAGGCGCAACGGATGATACGGAGGTCCGCACCGCCCGGAAAGGTGGAGTGGACTTCTGCCGCCACCCGCCGATAGCATCCCCGATGTCAATATCTGCGAGAGATCTGCACTTCTAGGTTTGCGGTAGCAACTGGACGTAAGTATTCCTGTCAGAAACAGCCTCCGGCTGGTTAGTGCTCCAGATGCCCGAATTCGGTGACAATATACCTAGAAGAAGATGTCGACGCGCTGACCAGGACTCACAAAAGCATCGGTTCGCGACCATCTGCAGAATGAATGGAAAAGATATTCCCCCCACAGAAAACAGTGCATTTGCTAGTGTCAACAGCTTGGGGCAAAGATAAAGACCCCCGCAGCACCTCCGTAGACATTAGCGGACCCTTAGAGCTCGTGATAGGTTGGTTCAGCCGATCAAGAAAGTGCTCTTTCCGCCTCCCTTGGATATGTAGACAGAGGCTATGCTATGCTCTGGAAAGCGCGATTGGCTACGCCTGAACCACCGAGCCCTCATTAGCGCCGAAGTGTTCGACCGGCCGACCAGACAGACTGTCCGGCCACTCATCAAGTTACAGACGCTAATGCAAGGTCGCTGTGCCAGATAATTGCTCGGTTTCAAAAGGACATGGGCGGTTAGAGTAGATGGGTGATGCCCCTGAAGCTGGCATCGCCTCTTTAATCTGATCTCCTGCCGCGACAGAAGTAATACCTCGCTTTGGTTGCAATACTCCATGTCCCATTATCTGATTTAACCAAAGCTACATCGTCATGTCTACCACACCCGCGGAAGAGGCGTTGCATCAGCTGCAACGGGAACAGACTAAGCTGCTAGATGGCATCGACGAGTTACGAGCGATTGGAGTCGGCAGCCTCGTGGAACTTCCTCAGCTGGTGGTCTGCGGTAACCAGTCAAGTGGAAAGAGTTCCGTCCTTGAAGCTATCTCCAGAGTTAGATTCCCAGCGAAAAGCAACATCTGTACGAGATTCGCGACCGAAGTGATCTTGCGTCGGAGCCCAACACCCACAATCAAGATCTCCATTGAACCCGGACCATCGCGTAAGGATGCACGTGAACGAGCAATTCTGCAGGAGTTTGCACAGGAGCTGTCCCCAGCCGATAATGATTTACCAACGGTCATTGAGAAGGCCAAGGGCCACATGGGCGTAAATGAAACAGCGAATTCTGGATTTAGTGATGATGTCCTTAAGGTCGAGATTCTGGGACCCGATCAACCAGAATTGACCTTGGTGGACTTGCCTGGCCTTTATTACTCTGTGAGCCAGGACCAGAGCCTGCAAGGAATCAGGGTTGTCCGAACCTTGACGGAAAAATATATGAAGAATAAAAGAAGCATTATCCTTGCAGTCATCAGCGCAAAGGCCGACTACCATCTCCAAGAGGTTCTGAACATTGCTGAACGGTTTGATCCAAAGCGGGAGCGCACGCTCGGAATCATCACGCAACCGGATACTCTTGAACCCGACTCAGAGGAGGAGAAGACGTATCTCCAGTTTGTCTCTAATAAAAAGATCCAATTGCAGTTAGGATGGCACGTCCTGCGCAATCGCTCCTTTGAAACACGGGATATCCCGGATGACGCCCGCGATGCAAGAGAGAAGGAATTTTTCAACCAGGGCCGATGGTCATCTCTATCCAGGAACAGTGTCGGAATCGAAAGTCTCCGGCGGCGCCTCAGCAGTATTCTGTTTATTCAAATTCGTGGTAACCTCCCCGGGCTCTTAGCCGACATCAAAGAAAAGGCTGCTGATCGGGAGAAGGCGCTCTCAAAGCTGGGCTCCCCACGCACCACCCGCCAACAGCAAAGGGGATATCTCCTCAACATCAGCACCAGCTTTGAGCGCATCACAGGACAAGCGTTGCACGGGCTTTATGCCGACGAGTTTTTTGGTGCGTTTGAGAGTATAAGTGATATTCACGATTTCCGGCGACTCAGGGCTGTCATCAGGCAGTTGAATGAATACTTTGCTGACGCCATGGCCGCTCGAGGGTCCCGGCGGATCGTCGTGGATGGTTTTCCTGGGTTGTTCAGTCAGGAATCCACGCCCCTCGACTCGAAAAATCCTTACTTGTCTGGAAAGTTACCACATTATGTGCTTCGGAAAAATCTGGAAGAGGAGGTCGCCGAACAGGCCCGGAAAAACAGAGGGATTGAGCTGCCAGGCAGCGCCAACCAGCTCCTCGTTGGTAGCCTGTTTCGCGATCAGTCCCTTCCATGGGAAGGACTTGCCAAAGAGCACCTCATGAAGACCTGGGAATCAGTGCGGTACTTTGCGTTACTTGTGATGCAGCACACAGCCGACGATCATACATTCTCCTTGCTGGCTGGATCGATTATTGAGCCTGCACTGGACGAGCTGAGGCAAAACTTGCTGGCTAAGCTCGATGAGCTGACTGCATA